GGGACCCCAGGCAAGCTGTTGGCCATGGGAGTTCTGTGTGCTAAGATTGGTTCAATTCCATTGTTGGTGGAGTTCAGAATGCTCTTTGATTGTCAGTGGACTATAAATCCCAGCAACTACAACTCCCAAATGTCACTGTCTATTTTCCCCAAACTCCACCAGTGTTCACATTTGGGCATATTGAGTATTCATGCCAAGTTTGGTCCAGATCCATCATTGGTAGAATTCAGAATGCTCTTTGGTTGTAGGTGAACTATAAATCCCAGGAACTACAACTCCCAAATGTCACTGTCTATTTCCCCCAAACTCCACCAGTGTTCACATTTGGGCAAATTTAGTATTTGTGCCAAGTTTGGTCCAGATCCATCATTGGTGGAATTCAGAATGCTCTTTGGTTGTAGGTGAACTATAAATCCCAGCAACTACAACTCTCAAATGTCACAGTCTATTTCCCCCAAACTCCATCAGTGTTCACATTTGGGCATATTGAGTATTCGTGCCAAGTTTGGTCCACATCTATCATTGTTAGAGTCCACAGTGCTCTCTGGATATAGGTGAACTACAACTCTAAAACTCAAGGTCAATGCCCTGCAAACCCTTCCAGTATTTTCTGTTGGTCAGGGGAGTTCTGTGTGCCAAGATAGGTTCAGTTCCATTGTTGGTGGGGTTCAGAATGCTATTTGATGGTAGGTGAACTATAAATCCCAGCAACTACAACTCCCAAATGACAAAAACAATTCCCCCAACCCACCAGTATTCAAATTTGGGCGTATCGGGTATTTGTGCCAAATGTGGTCGAGTGAATTAAAATCCATCCTGCACATCAGATATTGACATGACAATTCGTTGCAGTAGCAAAATGACAGTTATGAAGTAACAACAAAAACTATTTTATGTTTGTGGGTCACGACAACATGAGGAATTGTATTAAGGGTCGCGGCATTAAGAAGGTTGAGAAGCACTGGTATATAGGAAAGCAAAGAGACCAAAGGGAAGAAAACAAGGGATCCTGTCCTGTTAAGCTGAGCTAATTGGTCCCTCCTGAGCGGCTGGATGCCGAATGCTGAAGAAATGTGAGTGTGTGCAACGCAAGGGAAGGCGAGCAAGGGCTGGGCCTTCCGGTATTAGCTGGCATACATTTAGCACTTGTTTAGAACCAGACATTTGAAAACTTCCCAGGATTGGAAGGCCTTCCGGCACGACTCACAGCACTTGAAGGTCAATAGCAAAACACAGTAAAGGGCTATAGGGACATTTCCATGCAAGGAACCATAATAGTGATAGTAAGAGATAAGGGTTATGGAAGTCTAATCCATACTTTTTCTGCTCCTTTTATACTTTTGCTTTAACTTGCTCTGGCAGTTTGCAAGGGATCATCTTTTCAAAGCCTATGTGAAAAGGAAGCTGAGGGGTGGAAGCCAGAAGGAAGGAAGAAAAAGGAATAAATAGATCAATCAGAAGAAACGATGGAGGGCAGAATTATTTTGTTTTTATTGCTTCTATTGTGGTTTTATACTGTTTAATGTTTAATTTATATTTTGTTGTTATGTGTACTGACTTGTTGCAAACCGCCTTGAGTCGCTGATAAGGCTGAGAAAGGCGGTATACAAGTATAGTTAGTAAATAAATAAACAAACAAATAATGCAGATATTTTTTGCCAGAAGGCAGAAATTGCTTCCCAACATTTCTGGCCCATGGGAAAAAAAACCCAAAGCAGTTCCCTTTGCTTCTGTTGTGGTTTTATACTGTTTTAATGTTTAATTTATATTTTGTTGTTATGTGTACTGAGCTTGTTGTAAATCGCCTTGAGTCGCCAGTAAGGCTGAGAAAGGCGGTATAAAAGTATAGTTAGTAAATAAATAAATAAACAAATAATGTAAATATTTTTTGCAAGAAGGCAGAAATTGCTTCCCAACATTTCTGGCCCATGAAAAAAAACCAAAACAGTTCCCTTTGCTTCTATTGTGGTTTTATACTGTTTAATGTTTAATTTATATTTTGTTGTTATGTGTACTGACTTGTTGTAAACTGCCTTGAGTCGCCAATAAGGCTGAGAAAGGTGGTATACAAGTATAGCAAATAAATAAATAATGCATATATTTTTTGCCAGAAGGCAGAAATTGCTTCCCAACATTTCTGGCCCATGAAAAAAATGTTCCCTTTAAAACAGGGGTAGGGAACCTTTGGCCCTCCAGCTGTGGTGGACTTCAACTCCCACAATTCCTTGAGGCTCGGCATTGGGCCAAGGTAAGCCTTTGGGGCGAATGCCGAGCCTCAAGGAATTGTGGGAGTTGAAGTCCACCACAGCTGGAGGGCCAAAGGTTCCCTACCCCTGCTTTAAAACAAAAGATAATTCTACCTGCTTATCTATTTTGGGTTGGGCTGGAGCTCGTTTTCAGATGTAAATATTGTTCAGTATGGGAAGCAGTTTACATCCAAAATGCAAATAGTTGCTATTTCCTTTTTGCATCTGTGCAAATTGATGTAACTCGGGCATGGGCCAACTTTCTATTTTGGGGGCTGCATGGCGGGACAGGAGGGAGGGGGTTCTCCCCAAGCCCCTTTCCTCCCCTTCCTCTTCTCTTTAGGAGGCAGAAAGTGAAGGGAAAGACGGGAAACATTTTGTTGGTCTTGGTCAGGATGAGATAGTGGACTGTAGAGAAAAGGTGTCTCCATGAGAGCCTATATTGCCTGCTCCTGATATAGAATCCTAAAATCCTAGACCTGGAAGAAACCCTCCAGGGCCATCTAGTCCAACCCCCTGCCATGCAAGAAGGCACAGCTGTTGTGGCTCAGTTGGAGCCTGAGTTTTCTGAGCCCGAGTTTCCTCAGGACAAGGAGGATTTCTGAACATGGCCCTATTGTTGAGGCAGACAGTGTTGATTCTGAAGAAGAGACTGCATTTCTGTTTCCCAGAGAAAGGAATGTTGTTTTAGATGAAGGTAAGGGAAACTTTACAGCTGCAGGTGGAGGAGTCGGCTGCTCCATCTGTGAGCTCAGTGCCTCTCGGTTCCCAGTGCGACCATTCCCAGGATAATGAGATATCCAGCCTTGAAGGTGATGGAGATTTGAGTAGGGAGGACCGTTTGCAATTAAGGGTACGCCGAAGTGCTCGGCTTGCCAGCAAACGGGAAGTTCGAGGTCAACGTAGTGCTTTCATGCTAGGGAAACATATTTAATGATCTGATTGAAGTCAATCTGTGGTCAGTGCAACTTTGCTTACACCCTGTTAACTTCTCTGGAATTGCCTCGGCTTTTGGGGAAAGCTTTGGCTCTTTGGGACTTTTGTTTTGATCTTGGCTTCTGGGGACTTTGTCATGCTGCCATGGATTCTTGTTTGACCCATGTTTGTGGATTATAATTCATGTTATTTGCCTCTGGATCTTGGAAACTCTGCCTTTGCATTTAAGACTCTGTTTTGGCTATTGAACTTTTGCAACCTTATTTATATGTTTATGATTTTGCTTTTTCTTCAATAAACTACAAAATCTACAGCCTTGGTGTGTGGTGTTGTTCTGAGCAAGGTGAATCTATCCTGAGCCGTGACAACAGCCAAAAGCACTCCCGATAGACAGCCTCTGCGGAAAAGCCTCCAGAGAAGGAGACTCCACCACACTCCCAGGCAGCCTAGGCCACTCTCCAACAGCTCTTACTCTCAGGAAGTTCTTTCTAATCTTTTCAGTCGAATCTCTTTCCCTGTCATTTGAACCCATGGCTCCCTTCTTGTGCCATGGTCTCTAGAGTAGCAGAAAGTCTGTTTTCCCCCTTCCTCTCTCCTCCTCCTCAATGGGACACCCTTTTACATGTTGCAGCATGGTTTTCCTGTTCCCTCTGTATCTTCTCTTCTCCCAACAAAACATCCCACAGGAGGGAAGAAGGAAGGAAAAAGGGGAGGGTGGGCGGAAAGGTGGAAGGTAATGGAGGGAAGGAGGGAAGAGAGAAGGAAGGAAAAAAAAGAGAAGAAAGGAGAAAGAGAGAGGGAAAAAGGGAGAAAAAGGGAAGGAAGGACAAAAAGGAAGGAAGGTAGAGAATGGAGGGAGGGAGGAAAGAGGGAAGGAAGGAAAACAAAAGCAAAGGAAGAAGAAAGAAAAGGGAGGAGAGAGGCACGAGGGAAGGAAGGAAAGACGAAAGGGTGAAAAGAAATGAAGGAGGGAGGGAGAAAGAGGGAGGGAAGGAGGAAGGAAGGAAAGAGAAAAGGAAACAAGGACAGGAAGGTGGAAGGGAATGGAGGGAGGGAGGAAAGAGAAGGAAGGAAAGAAAAAAAGAGAAGAGAGAGAGAGAGGGAAGGAGGGAGAAAAAGGGAAGGAAGGAAGAGAATGGAGGGAGGGAAGAAAGAGAGAAAGAAGGAAAACAAAAGCAAAGGAAGAAGAAAGAGAAGGGAGGAGAGAGGAAAGAGGGAAGGAAAGAAGAAAGGGTGGAAAGAAATGAAGGAGAGAGGGAAGGAGGAAGGAAGGAAGGAAGGAAGGAAGGAAGGAAGGAAGGAAGGAGGGAGAAAAGGAAACAAGGACAGAATGCTGAGAGAGAGGAGGGCCTGAGAAAAGTGCCCAAGGGGCCACATCCAGCCCCCGAGCCTGGGTTTGCCCATTCCTGATATAACTCTACTAAGTTTTGTGAAGGTAAAAAAAAATGAAACCTTGTCCTTTGGTGACTCAGTCCTTTATAAACAATTCATGTCAGATTGTGCTATTGTAGAAGTGTGTAGGAAGCACTCATGAACCTTTTTGTTGTTTTTTCAGAGGCCGGTGATTTTCTAGATTTATAAAGAAGGGATATAAATATCATTGTTAAAGTTGAACACCTTAAGAATAATGGTACCTAGCAAATAGCTGACATTAAATTTTCCCCAGCACACACCTATTTTCATAGTTGTCTTGCATCTTTGTGGATCTGTGCAGAGGAAGAAAGCTTTCTTTACCCAAGGCTGTTGCTTTGATAGACTCCTGGATCTGTTATATAGCATTTTTTGGTTAATGCTGGCGGATGTTTCTTTCTTTTACAGAAAGTGGGGGTGACCGGAGCCCCCGACCCACAAGTCCGCTGTCCATCTGTCATTGAATTTGGGAAATATGAAATCCACACTTGGTATTCCTCGCCATACCCACAAGAGTATTCCAGGTACAGTGCACACACCTTCATTCTTTTGCCACAAGCTGAATGGGCAGCTAGAAATGCAGAAACGCCCTAGTTCTAGACTTAGCCTAATATTATTAGTTTACTCTATTATTTTTATTACATTTATTGTTTTACTCTATTCATTATTATTATATTTCCATTATTTTACTCTATTATTATTATTATTTGAAACACAACAAGACGAGTCCACAGCAGACACTCTGCTGGCTGTTGTATGGGATTGCACATCAGACACTTCCCAAGTGCCTAGGACTGTGTGATATATCGGTGAATAATGTGTACAGATCCCAGTAAGGTGGCCTTTTGCAGCTGGCAGATGGTAATCTTGTCAGTGCCGATTGTGTTTAAGTGCAGGCCAAGGTCTTTAGGCACTGCACCCAGTGCGCCGATCACCACTGGGACCACCTTTACTGGTTTGTGCCAGAGTCTTTAAACCCTCATGTCGTGTCATCTTTTCCAGTTGTTTCACTTCAATCCTGCTGTCACCTGGGATTGCGACATCGACAATCCATACTTTGTTTTTTAACACGATCGTAAGGTCAGGAGTATTGTGCTCCCAAACTCTCTATGTCTGAATATGGAAGTCTCAGAGTATCTTGACAAGTTCATTCTCTGTAACTTTTTCCAGCTTGTGATCCCACCAGTTCTTTTGTTGCAGGCAGATGGTATTTGTGGCACAAGTTCCAATGAATCATCTGAGCAACGGTGTTATGCCTCTGCTTGTAGTCTGTCTGCGCAATCTTCTTGCAACAGCTGAGGATGTGATCTATTGTTTCATCTGCTTCCTTGCAGAGTCTACACTTGGGAGCTGTCATCGACTTTTCAATTATTATTATTAATATTATTATTATTATTATTATTATTATTACCTTTATTATTTGACTCTATTATTATTGGAAGGATACATAAGTACATTTACATTGAAGAAGGTTAGAATAATGGTTTAATCAGAGTTGGACAGTCTTATCTTAAATTACAGTTTTATGTAAATATTCAAAAACATTCAATCTATGGCTGCCCCATTAAATGTAATTTTATTGGTATCTATTTTTATTTTGAAATTTCCCAGCAGCTGCTGCATTTCCTACCCTTGGCTTATACTTGAGTCCATATGTTTTCCCAGGTTTTTTGTGGTAAAATGAGGTGCCTCGGCTTATATTTGGGTTGGCTTATACTCGAGTAATCCCTGCCTGCCACTTACAGCTTAAATAGATGTGACGAAAGGGGACAGAGTTGTGAAGGAGGTTGCAAAGGAGAACAAATGTCCTATTAGCAGAGCTGGTGGAGTGGCTCTTGCCTTCTTGTTAAACTCCAGCCCAAGCCGCCTCTAGACCTTCTCTTGTACTTTCACTTCTACATTCTCTCATTCAGACCCAGCTTTTAAGGCAAAGGAAAAAATTTTTTGCAATACTGCAGTGAGCAATTGAGGAATGTTGCAATTCTCCAGTGCATTTTTGATTGAAGAAATATAAACGCTGTCTCTCTTGCAGGCTGCCTAAGCTCTACATTTGTGAATTCTGTCTCAAGTACATGAAAAGCAGGACTATCCTGCAGCAGCACATGAAGAAATGTGGTTGGTTCCATCCCCCGGCAAATGAAATTTACAGGAAGAGCAATGTTTCTGTCTTTGAGGTAATGGTGAACCTATGACACGCGTGTCAGCACTGACACGCTTGGCTATTTTTGATGACACGCGGCCACATGCGGCCGCATACAGAGAAGTACACCTTATAAGAGCCAATCTAATTCCATCCTTAAATTTGTAAAAGGCTCTAGAAATTTAACATCTGCATGTTTGAGCATTGTTCACTCCATAACTCAGCGTGGAATATACATTTTTCTTATTTAAACTATAAATATTGCAAAATTATGGTTTTTTTTGTCTCGAAGTTGACACCCCACCCAAGTTATGCTCAGGTTTTTGGCAAATTTTGACACACCAAGCTCAAAAGGTTGCCCATCACAGATCTATAAGATACTGGCAGCCAAAGTGACTACTTACCCCTAACGTCATCCTTTTATGCTGTTCTTTAAGTCTCTTTAAGGCATTGGATGGGTTCGATGTAAGGGGACAGTTCCATCTTGTCTCCTAATGTGGGTCTGGGAAAAGAGAGGATTTAACACACTATCTGTTACATTGCCCACTGTATAAATGACCCTCGAAACAATCTTTTGTGAGCCCTTTTGGAAGAAAGGGCAGCATGGCAACAGTCAGCAGTTATCTGTGACTTGTTAGCAGATTATTCCAAAAATATAACATTAAAGGTTGCCACATTTGCAGTCGCAGCCCAAAAAATCCAATCCAAACTAGTAAATTCCACAGCAGAAGCTAGAAATTGAAATTAAGATGTTTTGGGGATGATACAAACCAGACATTTGTAATTGTCATTATATCACTACTATAATTTTAAAGAGCTAGTATACGGTACTTGTTTTAATACTTGTATTGGAAAACGCTTATTGTACCTTTAAAGGTTGTATATTTTATGTCATGGCCTATGGCTAGTACAATAAACAATTCATCATCTTTTCTCCTGCATATGTCATCAGTTGGAGACCCCTCCCCTCAGCAACAACCGCTGAGGTTGAGCTATAGTGAAGACAGGGGAGGCCAGGGGACAGTTCCACCGTGTCTCCTGTGCTATGCTAAAATATAATAATATAATATAATATAATATAATATAATATAATATAATATAATATAATATAATATAATATAATATATTGTATATACATATAATATTTATAATATTTTAATGTAATACAGTATAATAATAATATATTATAATTATATATTTTATATTACATGTAATAGTACTAATAATATTACAATATAATTGTATAATACAATATAGTGATGTATAGCGCTGATATTGTACTGTGCTAATGGTATAATGTATTGTGTGTGTATATATATATATATATACACACACACACATACTAGCCGTCCCCTGCCACGCGTTGCTGGGGCCCACATGGGGGGTCTATGTGGGAGGTTTGGCCCAATTCTCTCGTTGATGGGGCTCAGAATGCTCTTTGACTGTAGGTGAACTATAAATCCCAGCAACTACAACTCCCAAATGTCAAGATTCTATTTTCCCCCAACTCCACCGGTGTTCACATTTGGGCATATTGAGTATTTGTGTAGAGTTTGGTCCAGATCCATCATTGTTTGAGTCCACAGTGATCTCTGGATGAAGGTGAGCTACAATTCCAAAACCAAAGGACTCTGCCTACCAAACTCTTTCAGTATTTTCTATTGGCCATGGGAGAACTGTGTGCCAAGTTTGGTTCAATTCCATCATTGGTGGGGTTCAGAATGTTCTTTGATTGTAGGTGAACTATAAATCCAAGCAACCACAACTCCCAAATGACAAAATCTTTTTTTTTTTTTGAGTGAAGGACATACATTGGGTTGTTAGGTGTCTTGTGTCCAAATTGGGTGTCAATTCGTCCAGTGGTTTTTGAGTTATGTTAATCCCACAAACAAACATTACATTTTTATTTATATAGATATATATATATATAGAGAGAGAGAGAGAGAGAGAGAAAGCCGCTCTGAGTACCCTTTGGGGTGAGAAGGGCGGCATATAAATGTCGCAAATAAATAAATAAAATATAAATAAACAATCCTGCTGGGCTCCATTGGAGCACTAGCTATGGTTGCCTGTTAGCAGCGCTTTTTCAGGATGACAACTTCACCTCTTTCGTTTTTTTTCTTAAAGGTGGATGGGAACGTCAGCACCATTTACTGCCAGAACTTGTGTCTATTGGCAAAGCTCTTCCTGGATCACAAGACACTCTACTATGACGTGGAGCCATTTCTTTTCTATGTGCTGACGCAGAACGATGTGAAGGGCTGCCATCTCGTTGGCTACTTCTCTAAGGTCAGCTTGCAGAGATCCAGAGTAAAATTCTGCACCATGATATTACTAATGTTGTGTTTTAATAGGAGGTTGTCTCTTGTTTTATTGAGCCTTGAGCCACAGGGAGAGGCGGGTAATGAACAACAACAACAACAGTAATGTAAAACTGAAGCAAATTTGCAAGCTATTTTTATTCCACTGCTGTTTTCTGTAATTTTCATTTTTTTTGCTATTTTGTATGAAAGCTAATGCTACTTGTAATAGGAAGGTTCAAGGAAGCCCATAGTATTCAGTATATTTTGGTATTTAGTAGGCTTGGGCAATCCATGGTTCTAAATGGTTCTAAAGTACTTACAAAACTAAAGTTCTGGTGGTGAAAATTTCAGAATTCTAACAAAACTCTGAAAATTTCATAATAAATGGCAGTTCCTAATTGGTTCAGTCATTAAAATCACCAATAATGAAATAATAATTAAATTTTGAAAGTTTTGTTAGAGTTCTGAAATTTGCACCACCAGAACTTTATTTTTGTAAGTACTTTAGAACCATTTAGAACCATGGATTGCCCAAGCCTAGTATTTAGTGTACACTTCAAGTTTTTATTGTAATTTAACTAATATTTAATTGGTTTTTAAACATTTTTGTATTTACTTTGTTTAACATTGTTATTGTTATGAGAGTTGCCAGATGTACAAACTTGAGAATTGCCAGATGTACAAACTTGGTTTTAGAAAATGAGAGACCAAATTGCCAATATCTGGATACTGGATAACGGAGAAAGGCAGGGAGTTTCAGGAAAAAAAAACATCTATTTCTGTTTTATTGAAAGCCTTTGACTGTGTGGATCATAATACATTGTGGCAAGTTCTTGGTGGTCTGTATGGGGAGACCAAGCCACCTTGTCTGTCTCTGGAGGAATCTCTATAACGACCAAGTTGCAACAGTAAGAACTGACCATGGAACAACAGACTGGTTCAAGATTGGGAAACTGGTTCAAGATTGAGTATGGCAGGGTTGCATACTCTCACCCTCCCTATTTAACTTGTATGCATCCTGTGTCGTGCGAGGCTTGATGAATCCAAGGATGGAGTTAAAATTGCTGGAAGAAACATTAACAACCTTAGATATGCAGATGATACCACTTTGATGGCTGAAAGTGAGGAGAAGCTGAGGAGGCTTCTAATCAAGATGAAGGAAGAGTGTGCAAAAACTGGGCTGCAGGGAAACATCCAAAAAACCAAGACTATGGCAACTGGACTGATCAATAGAATCAAAGAGTTGGAAGGGACCTCATGGGCCATCCAGTCCAACCCCATTCTGCCAAGAAGCAGGAATATTGCATTCAAAGCACCTCCAACAGATGGCCATCCAGCCTCTGTTTAGAAGCTTCCAAAGAAGGAGCCTCCACCACTCTCAGGGGCAGAGAGTTCCACTGCTGAATGGCTCTCACAGTCAGGAAGTTCTTCCTCATGTTCAGATGGAATCTCCTCTCTTGTAGTTTGAAGCCATTGTTCCGTGTCCTAGTCTGCAGGGCAGCAGAAAACAAGCTTGCTCCCTTCTCCCTGTGACTTCCTCTCACATATTTATATATGGCTATCATACCTCCTCTCAGCCTTCTCTTCTTCAGGCTAAACATGCCCAGCTCTTCAAGCCGCTCCTCATAGGGCTTATTCTCCAAATCCTTGATCATTTTAGTCACCCTCCTCTGGACACATTCCAGCTTGTCAGTATCTCTCTTCAATTGTGGTGCCCAGAATTGGACACAGTATTCCAGGTGTTGAATAGAGGGAGAAAACGTGGAGGCCATGACAGCGTTTGTATTCCTAGGCGCAAAGATGACTGCAAACACAGACTGAGGCCAGGAAATCAGGAGAAGTTTCCTTCTTGGGAGAAGAGCAAGGACCAATCTCGATAAGATTGTGAGGAATAGAGACATCACACTGGCAACAAAGAACTGCATAGTTAAAGCAATGGTATTCCCCATAGTCACCTATGGATGTGAGAGCTGGACCATCAGGAAGTCTGAGTGAAGGAAAAGAGACGCTTTTGAATTGTAATGTCAGAGGAAAATTCTGAGAGTACCTTGGACCACGAGAAGATCCAACCAGTCCATCCTCCAGGAAATAATGCCCGATTTCTCACTGAAGGGAAGGAGATGAGAAGCAAAAGAGGAAGTACTTTGGACACATAATGAGAAGACAAGATAATGATGCTGGGGAAAATGGAAGGAAAAAGGAAGAGAGGCCGACCAAGGACAAGGTGGAGGGATGGACTCCTTGAAGGGAGGGACTGGCCTGACTCTAAAGGTGATCTTGAGGGTGGCCATGGCCGACAGGGAGCTCTGGCCTGGGCTGGTCCAGGAAGTCACAAAGAGTTGGATGTGACTGAATGAATAAACAACAACATTGTTATTAGATTATGTGGTGTGGTTGTGAGCTGCCTTGACTCCCTATGGGAAGAAAGGCAGGATATACATAAAGATCATCATCTTCATCATCAGCACCGGGACTGTGTGCAGCTGTCTCAGTGTCATCTGCATTAAGATCACTCTGACCAAAAGGTCATGAGTTCGAAGCCAGCCCGGGTTGGAGTGAGCTTCTGACCAATTGTGTAGCTTGTTGTCGATATTTGCAACCCGAAAGACAGTTGCATCTGTCAAGTAGGAAAATTAGGTACCACCTATGTGTGGGGAGGCTAATTTAACCAATTTACGAGGCCATTAAAAAGACTCCAGCGAGTCCCCTGCGGGGTGAGAAGGGCGGAATATAAATACTGTAAATAAATAAATAAATCATCATCGAAACTCACTAAGCATCTCAGCATCCAGATCTGAATCCCAATACTTGTTGGGTGGCAACTTAGAATTGTGCCATATGTATGAAGTCCTGGCCATAGCCCAACAATTCCTATGTGCCAGGAGGTGGGTGGTTCTTTGGCTCTCTCCCTGACAGATCCAAGTGTGTAACTGTGTCTTATTTTAAGGCCAGAGTTGTCATGCCATGCCATGCCTCTGCAAAGGTCTGTTGGAACTGGTCTGACTTGCCTGCAAGTAAATATGATTGGGATTGAGTTGTCAGCTTAACAATGTGAATTAAATATAAGCCAGTTTTAAGTGGCTCTAAAACAATTCTCATTCCGCTTAACTGTATGTGGTTTAACCAGCCCAGTGATCTATGAAATGATGAGTGCGGCTTGCCATGCATTCTTGAAATCGAAATCCAGGGAAGTGAAGCAGTTAATAAGGCTGGCTTTCCCTTCGCCCCATTGTAAGGAGTGTATCCTCCAAGGAGGTGGCTCTGTGGAGAGTGGGTTTTACACGACTTCCGAGTCTCTTGGGTGGCGAAGAGGAGAGCAGAGCGAGGCGGTGGAGTAAACATTAATTGTGACCTCCACGATGACGGGGCTTGTTTCTCAAAATCAGATGCTGATCTCATTTCAAAGCTTTTGTTTGCACTTTGGGAAAGAGAGGGTTCAGTCTGAATGTAGCCTTAGTATTTCCCATTGAAAGAGGGCCCCGTCTTTACATTCGCCTTCCCCCCCCTTCCTCCCTCCAACTCCAGTGTTGAGGCTGTTTTGCTTGGAGAGGAAACTTTGGAGGAGGGCCTTATTGTGAACCTTACTTCATGCCTCTCTCCTTTTGTCTTTACAAACAAACACACAGATTGGATTTTGATTGGGTTTTAAGTGCCCCAGTCTCCTCGGGGTCGCAGCAAGGATTGTATTCTTTTATCCTAGACACCTGTCACGTTGCCAGAGCTCTGCCTTATTTAGGTAGAGATGAATCAAACTCCCAGTTTTAACAAACAGTTTAATTAAAACAGCACTTATCTGCTGGCTGTTTTTATAGTCCAAAATATAAAACACAAAGATAGCACTCAGCTACAGAGTAAACAAAAATTGATAGCAAAAATAACTTCATAGTCAAAAGAGTCCAGTCCAGTTCAATAACAGAGTCCAGGGATCAAGAGTCTATACCGTAGTCAAAAGCCAGTCCAAAGGTTCAAGGTTCCAGAGTTCCAAGGGTTCTGGAGACCAGTCAGGATACCAAAAAAATCCAACAGACCTGGGGGGGAAACCAGCAGCATCCACCACCAAAATACAACAGATACTTTTCTCCCAAAGATCAGTTCCAAGATTAGCTCCTTAAACCCAGCTGCAACCCATCTCCTGCACACCTCCACCCCTAATTGCTTTCACCCACTTACAGATCACCAAACCCTCTAGAACTAATACTCACATTAACCCTTCCATCACCAACCACCATCAACTGCAGACCATATGACAACACCTTTGTTTGGGCATGCGAACTGCATTTCACTTTAAGCACAAAGTCCAGAAACAATGACTTGGTGGTCGTAAAGTACACTTTGTAATGAGAAAGTCCCTGGATTGCTTTTTCTCACCATTGTTTTGAAAGGGACTGGAGTAAGTGGGCTGGGAAGACTTTCTGAGGCCAAGACCCTTGAAACTGAGTCCCACCTGGAATAGACTTTACTGGGCTAGATCTCCCAGTAGCTAACTTGGGAATAAGCAGGTTCATGTGTTCCTTGGCAGGTTGTTCATTTATCCCCCATTTCCGGACAGCAGTTGCTGTTGGGCGAGTAGGCTTGTTAACAGAAGACCCTCCACATAAATGTACGGCAGTGTAACTTACTAGCAGCAGCGTGACCTAGCACCAGGAGCCCAAAGTGAGAAACAGAACAAAAAACACATAGACCAAAGTTATCTCTTCCTTAGAAGGCTTTTTAAGATAGCAAAATAATATGGTTGCACTATTTACAGGAACAAAGATTCCATAACACATGGTACTACATATTATATACTATCATACAGTCAAGTCTTATAAAGTCTTTCATTAATAATAATAATAAAAGGATTCTATACCACAGAAAAGTTCTTTATACTTCCCGCTTTGCTTCCACGCTGGGCTTTCTTTCTCCAGCAGATAAACAGCTTTGCTCTCACTGAGCTTCCTCTCACACCAGACTTACACAGTAGTCTTTTACACATACCACCCTTCAGACTGGAGCTTTACACAGGAGGCCTTCAACCTGGGGCTCCTCTCACCAAAGCCTCTCACATTGAGCCTCTCTCACACTGAGGCATTCTCATACGGAGGCAAACTAACACTGGGGTTGCTGTAAAGGAACAAGAACACACAGACCAAAGTTATCATCTCTTCCATAGGAAGCTTTTCTTTGTAGTAAAATAATATGGTTGCACTATTTACAACTACAAAGTTTCCATAACACAAATAAACTAATACATAGAAACTTTACACGCAGCAGCCTTCATACACTAAAGCTTTCTCACACAAAGGTTTACCTCACACTCCTCATGATGGCAGTAGCTTTGGCCCACTCACTCTAACAGGCTGCGGCCTACCAACTCTTTCAGTGCTTGACTTACACTTTTGTAATCAAATTACTCAGTTAATTTTTAATATTTCTGACAGTTGCCTCAGTGGCAGTGACTTAATACAATGATGTGTGCTTTCACCGGGTGGTTGTTTTAGGCCGATGCTCATGAATTTCCCAGTGGGGCTATAACTGTGTGTGTCTCTTACTGGAATATTCCATCTGAATTCATTACTATCCCAGAAGAACTTCCTTTCTATCTCACTAATCCCTTGCTTTTAAAAATCTCTGTTCCTTCTCTCTGTCTCTCACCAGGAGAAGCACTGCCAGCAGAAATACAACGTTTCCTGCATAATGATTCTTCCCCAATACCAGCGCAAGGGCTATGGCAGATTTCTCATCGATTTCAGTAAGCATCTTTTCAATTCTTTAAAAATCCTCTTTTAAGCTTTGCACAATAATTCATGAAGATGCACAGTATTTCAGGACTGTGTTTTGTTGCACTGGACGTCAGGAGCATTAATGATCTCCACTGGCTGCCTTTTGGGATTCCGAGGAGAACCCTTTTTCTGATATATGTGGATGCATACATTCCTATTTCTTTCAAATGGAAAAATATATGTACCATCCTGGTCTTCCTTGTCACATTTCAGTACAAAATAATCCTGATATTGGGATTCGTAATCCCTAATCTGCATCCTTGCATGAAGGAGTGTATCCTTCCTTATTATTATTTGTAAAAAAAAAAGTTTCTTCTTTCTTTCTGTATAACAGCATTTTTCACCTGGGGGGGAAAGGACCCGGGGGGGTCATGGGGGGTTCAGGGAGATCAGCAAAGACATCGGAAAACATGTGTTTCTGCTGGTCTTAGGAACTCCTTTGGCAGAAAAGGCTGAAGATCTCTCTGCCTGTCCTGCTCTTCCTTTTGGGAAACAGACGGTGAATGCTCCCACCAAAAGCCCTCTTCTGCTGTGACTGGTTAGCTTCTCGGTCAAGGGGAGAGCTGTTTCTGAGACTCCAAGCGGGCAGGGGAGAGCAGGCGTGCTTGGCACATGGCAATGTGGTGCGCATGTGCAGGCAAGGGAGAGCAGATGAGACTGGAGGGAGGTTCACACCAACAAGTCCTGACTGTGAGAGCCGTGAAACTCTCTGCCCGGAGTGTGGTGGTGGCTCCTTCTTTGGAACCTTTAAACAGAGGCTGGATGGCCTCTGCTTAAAAGCTGTCAGGGGTGCTTTGAATGCAGTATTCCTGCTTCTTGGCAGGGGGTTGGACTGGATGACCATGAGGTCTCTTCCAACTCTATGATTCTATGATTCTAAGTCCCTTCAAGGCATGGGTGTTCGGTGTGGGATATTTGGCCCAATTCTATCGGTGGGGTTCAGGATCCTCTTTTATTGCAAGTGAACTATAAATTGCAGCAACTACAAATCCTAAATGTCAAGACCTACTTTCCCCAAACTCACATTTGGGCATATTGAGTATTAGTGCCAAATTTGGTCTAGATCCATCATTGTTTGAGTCCACAGTGCTCTCTGGGTGTAGGTGAACTACAATTCCCAAACTCAAGGCCAATGCCCACCAAGTCCTTCTAGTATTTTCTGTTGGGAGTTCTGTGTGTTAAGTTTGGTTCAATTCCCTTGTTGGTGGAGTTCAGAATGCTCTTTGATTGTAGGTGAACTATAAATCACAGCAACCACAACTCCCAAATGACAAAATCAATCCCCCCCAACTCCACCAGTATTTAAATGTGGATGTATCAGGTATTTCTGCCAAATTTTTGCCAGACCGGCCTTAAGGAGGATGATGGCGAGGCCCTCCTGGGCCTGTTGGTGTTGTGGCAGTTTTGAGGAGGGCAGTAGGGAGTGAAATAATATCGTTACTAAGTACAAGAACAAGAGTTTCCATAATATTCAGCCCAGTTTACTTTTCCAAACATATCTCCCTCGATGAACCATCACGGAGGTTCAGATCATCCGGGGAGGCCCTGCTTTTGGTCCCGCCTCCATTGCCAGTGTGGTTGGCGGGGATGAGAGGCAGGGCCTTCTCAGTGGTGGCTCCTCGGCTCTGGAACTCCCTCCCCAGCGAAATTAGATCAGCGCCCTCCCTCCTGGCTTTTAGCAAGAGAATAAATAATGCTAATAAATAATACAGTACAAAGAATAATTAAGGACCATGAGCAATGACAATTCGGAATGGCTATGGTATACGAATTCTGGATTGTGGGATTTTAATGTTTATACTAGGATGATTTTAAATGTGGCCTCGCAACCCTGAATAAAAGAAATCCAGAGCAGCCGGATGTTGACCCAGAAACAATGGACAAAAGGGTGGGAACGAAATATCCTAGGATTTCCTACCCTTGAATTTGGTGTGATTTTAATATAGAACGTAATGATTTTAAATGTTTAATATGTTTTTGATTTAATCTATTTTAATTTAATTTTTTGGGGAATTATATGTGTTTTATGGTATTGAATGATCGCCTCTATGTAATCCGCCCCCAGTCCGTTTCGGAGTAAAGAAAGGCAGGGTGTAAGAAGGGTAAATAAATAAATAAATTGGACCGGCTCCCTCTCTCTACAGAAGTTGCATTTCTGTTACTGTGGTTTATTTATTTGCATTCTGCCTTGTCCTCATTCCGGGGAGTCAAAACAGTTTACAAAGATCACAAGAGATACAAATGAAAGCTCCCATAACTAAAACACATAAGAGCTACAGTATAATTACAAAAACCAAGAGAGATACATGTGAAAAGTCTCATAACAAAAAACAGAAAAGTTGCAACATAATTAAACTGTCCAGAGAATTAAAATATAAGAGGACTGAGAACAGTGTGGCACACGATTAAAAGCCTAATAATAATAATGATAGTAATAATAATAATAATAATAATAATAATAATAATAATAATAATAGTAATAGCCTTATGTTTGTATCCCGCTTCCTACTAGTACAGTCAGTTTCAAGGACAGGGCTGGTCGTTAACGTGCAAAAGTCAGATGGCAGAATTAGGAGTAGAAGGGCAACATGAAGTACAACACTCTTATCTATGGGCAGGCGACAGTCTTAAAGTGCAAGGACTAGATCAGAGATCCTCAAACTAAGGCCTGAGAGACATATACGGCCCTCCAAGGTCATTTACCCGGCCCTCGCTCAGGGTCAACCTAAGTCTGAAATGACTTGAAAGCACACAACAACAACAACAACAATCCTATCTCATCAGCCAAAAGCAGGCCCACACTTCCCATTGAAATACTAATATATATTTGTTAAAATTGTTCTTCATTTTAATTATTGTATTGTTTTAAGTGTTTTTTGCACTACAAATAAGATATGTGCAGTGTGCATAGGAATTCATTCATGTTTTTTTCAAATTATAATCTGGCCTTCCAACAGTTTGAGAGACTGTGACCTGGCCCTCTGAGAGTTGGAAGAGACCTCATGGGCCATCCAGTCCAACCTTCTGCCAAGAAGCAGGAATATTGCATTCAAATCACCCCTGACAGATGGCCATCCAGCCTCTGTTTAAAAGCTTCCAAAGAAGGAGCCTCCACCACAATCCGGGGCAGAGAGTTCCACTGCTGAACGGCTCTCACAGTCAGGAAGTTCTTCCTCATGTTCAGATGGAATCTCCTCTCTTGTAGTTTGAAGCCATTATTCCGCGTCCTAGTCTCCAAGGAAGCAGAAAGGAAGCTTGCTCCCTCCTCCCTGTGACTTCCTCTCACATATTTATACATGGCTATCATATCTCCTCTCAGCCTTCTCTTCTTCAGGCTAAACATGCCCAGCTCCTTAAGCCGCTCCTCATAGGGCTTGCTCTCCAGACCCTTGATCATTTTAGTCACCCTCCTCTGGACACATTCCAGCTTGTCAATATCTCTCTTGAATTGTGGTGCCCAGAATTGGACACAATATTCCAGGTGTGGTCTAACCAAAGCGGAATAGATCATGGGGAGCATGACTTCCCTAGATCTAGACACTAGGCTCCTCTTGATGCAGGCCAAAATCCCATTGGCTTCTTTTGCCGCCACATCACATTGTTGGCTCATGTTTAACTTGTTGTCCACGAGGTCTCTAAGGTCTTTTTCACATGTACTGCTCTTGAGCCAGGCATTGTCCCCCATTCTGTATCTTTGCGTTTCGTTTTTTCTGCCTAAGTGGAGTATCTTGTATTTGTCACTGTTGAACTTCATTTTGTTAGTTTGAGAGACTGTGACCTGGCCCTCTGTTTAAAAAGTTTGAGGACCCTTGGACTAGATCTTGTGTCATAGCTGGGCCAAAAGTATCTGGGGAACTGTCTAATCAAAGGCACAGTAGAAGGCCCATCAACCAGAACAAAACAAATAGCCCTTAACTTGTTGATAAAAGAGAAAGCCCCCACAGAAAACCAGACTTTCCTGTGACTTCAGCCTGCCGCAGGCTGTGCCCCTCTCCCCCACACCTTCCAGTTGCTTCTCATTATTTTGTCAGATTGCAAACTGCCACTTGAGCCAGAAATAGTTCTTGAAAAGCCACACTTCCGTTATTTAATGATGAAAGGAAATTGATGTGATCCTTCCCTTTTGCAAGATCACGGGAGACTGAAGTGACGTGTGAATTCTGGTGACGTTTCGGCTCCTGTGCTCCCCCCCCCCCCAAATGTACTGCTCCGTGAATAGTGCATGTGCATGGGACTCCATCCAAACCAGAGAGAGGCAGGGGTATCAGCACGCTTGGGGGAAAAAACAGCATTTGCAGATAATGCCACCCTAGGAAATATTTTCAGGCAGAAATGGTCCCAGGATGGCCCACAGAGCGCTGCACATGCTCAGTGGCTACCGTGTGCGGCTGGGGCAGGGTGGGGAAAGTCGCCTCTGTAAGCAGAGTGGTGTGGAATGGAGGATTCTGGAAGAAATAGCATGGCTGTCTGGCAGGAGCGCTCCACCTTGGGCTGTTTTGTTTGTGTTCTCGCCTGTGAGCGATAGAATGGGGAAATCTGCCATCTAGTGGCCCTGTCGTCCTCAGGTGTGGCCTGCAGAGTCTTTCCTCCAAATCGGCCAGCACTGATTCCCCTTTTGTGGCCACTGGAACTGGGTCCAAAACACTTCAGATCTCTGGCAGAGCAACATTTCTTCCTCGCCCCCCAATACCATCTCGACTGACGACATCTCATGCAAAATGTAGGACTTGAACATGGTCACCATTTTGTCTCCTGAATGATTTTGAATGCTTTTGCCCGATGAAGCTGCCACTAAAGTGTCAAAAGCTTGCATGTCCCAGTCCTTAAAATATTTCAGAGTAAAGTTATAGCCCAGATTTTGTATGGTGCTGCTGTCTGGGGATGGGATGAGTCTCAGATAGCAAAACTGGAGGCTCTCCAGAACACATTTCTTAAGAAACTACTGAGACTCCCACCGGGCAGCCCGGCAGCCTTGCTCCGGGCAGAGGTTGGTCTCCCCTCCATTAGATCACGTGTTCATTTTACCCTATTTAATTATTGGAGAAATGTCAAAGACTCCTCAGTTAGGGTTCTTTCCAAGGGATGTTTTGAACAGCTAGTAAAATGCAAAGTCTGGAACACTAGATTCCAGAAGCTGCTGGAATTTCACCCCACTCTGTCTGATAAGCCTTCAATCTTGAACTCAAGGGAGAAGCTCCAGGAATATATTTTTAATAATTGTGCCCACCATGATAGGCAGGCCATTAACAACTCCCAATTCTCCCACTGGTTTAGACTGTACAAGCTTGACCACGATAGGGCTATCTACCTGACTAGGCTCACATTTCCAAAACTTAGACAAGCCTTCACTGCCCTTCGTTTTCAAAGTATGCCCACAGCAGTGATTGAGGGCAGATATACGGGCACCCCTCTGGCTCATCGTTTATGTGTTTGTGGGGCCCCGGAAATTGAGGATCTGCCTCACTATTTGCTTTCCTGCCCTTTGTATTCTGATCCAAGAACCAAAATCCTGGGGTTTATTCTTCACCTCCTTCAGACCAACACTGTGTCCGAAAAGATTTTCTATCTCTTGGCTGACACTAACCCCGTGGTTACTCAAAAGGTGTCTTTTTGCCCTGGCAGCACAGAAAATCCGGGCAAAACTAATCTCTGATATTGCAGTTGACTGTGCTGGGGATGCTTTCAATTAATAGTGGCTGTTTATGTAGTTTTAATAATGCTGTATCTATTTGCTTTTACTTGGTTTTTAATTACGCAGGTATGACTCTATACATCATGTAGTATTTTAAAGGTGCATCTTGCCATCGATATATGTAGCATTTTAATGATTTATAGGATTTTATTGTGTATTTTATATTGTATTTAATAATCTGGTGTTCGTGTATTTATTTATTTGCCTTGCCTTGTATGTGAAAGACCTATGGTCTAAGCATTGAATAAACTATTCACAATCTATTCGCATGGTGCCTTTACATGCATTGGGGTTGGTCCAGTAAAAGTATTGCCGCTTGTGGTTTTTGGATTTCCTCCTTTGAAATGGAGGGTTTGACATTATAGAGGAGTTTCAGGCATTTCTATTGAAGCATAAAGAAACCAAAACAAAATGTCTTTATAGAATGATAGGTTTGAAGGGACGGCATGGGCCTTTTAGTCCAATCCCCACCATGTAGGGAAAAGTACATAATAATAATAATAATAATAATAATAATAATAATAATAATAATAATTTATTTATTTATTTCTACCCCGCCACCATCTCCCCAAGGGACTTGGAGCGGCTTACATGAGGCCAAGCCCAACAACACATCAATAAAAACAAAATTCAGAGTACCCCTGACAGATGGCCATGGGTTAGAGTCCTATGGCTGACTCGTCTACGTTGAACCAAAAAGAGCATTTACTGACAAACACAGAAGAAGGAAATTGTGGCCCATACTGATGGTACTGTGGGGGCTGTTTTCCTTTATTAGAGAGGCACGGTTGTAGTGGTTCAGTCTCAAACAAATCCCGTTAACTCTAGCTGAAAGACAGGGATCAGCTCCTCTGGTTGTGTTGATGGGGAATAATGCTCCGCTGCCTTACAAAGCCCAGTCTCTTGGGCGAGTGGGCTTATTAACAAAAGACTTTCCTCTTAAACGTACAGCAGAGTAACTTATTAGCAGCAGTGTGACCCAGCACCAGTAGCCAAAAGTGATAAAAAGGACAAAAAAACACACAGACCAAAGTTATCTCTTCCTTAGAATGCTTTTTAAAATAGCAAAATAATATGGTTGCACTATTTACAGGAACAAGGATTTCATAACACAGAAAGGTTCTTTATATTTCCCGCTTTGCTTCCACGCTGGGCCTTTCTCATGTGGATCAACAGCTTCGCTCTCACTGAGCTTTCTCTCACACCAAACTTACACAGGAACTTCACACAGTAGCCTTTTACACACACCACCCTTCATAGAATCATAGAGTTGGAAGAGACCTCCTGGGCCATTCAGTCCAACCCCATTCTGCCAAGAAGCAGGAATATTGCATTCAAATCACCCCTGACAGATGGCCATCTAGCCTCTGTTTAAAAAGCTCCAAAGAAGGAGCCTCCACCACACTCCAGGGCAGAGAGTTCCACTGCTGAACGGCTCTCACAGTCAGGAAGTTCTTCCTCATGTTCAGATGGAATCTCCTTTCTTGTAGTTTGAAGACATTATTCCACTGCGTCCTAGTCTCCAGGGAATCAGAAAACAAGCTTGCTCCTTCCTCCTTACGACTTCCTCTCACATATTTATCCATGGCCCTCATCATGTCTCCTCTCAACCTTCTCTTCTTCGGGCTAAACATGCCCAGCTCTTTAAACCGCTCCTCATAGGGCTTGTTCTCTAGACCCTTGATCATTTTAGTCGCCCTCCTCTGGACACTTTCCAGCTTGTCAATATCTCTCTTCAATTGTGGTGCCCAGAACTGGACACAATATTCCAGGTGTGGTCTAACCAAAGCGGAATAGAGCTTGGGTAGCATGACTTCCCTAGATCTAGACACTAGGCTCCTATGGATGCAGGCCAAAATCCCATGCCCAGCTCTTTAAGCCGCTCCTCATAGGGCTTGTTCTCTAGACCCTTGATCATTTTAGTCGCCCTCCTCTGGACACATGCCAGGTTGTCAATATCTCTCATGAATTGTGGTGGCCAGAATTGGACACAATATTCCAGGTGTGGTCTAACCAAACGGAATAGAGCATGGAGAGCATGACTTCCCTAGATCTAGACACTAGGCTCCTATTGATGCAGGCCAAAATCCCATTGGCTTCTTTTGCTGCCACATCACATTGTTGATTCATGTTTGGTAAAGCTTCTGTCTGGAGCTTTTCACCTGGGGCTCCTCTCACTGAAGCATCTCACACTGGGCCTCTCACACACTGAGGCCTACTAACACTGAGGCGTTCTCATATGGAGGCAAACTAACGCTGGAGCTGGGTTGCTGTACGTTTTTCGGGCTGTCTGTCCATGTTCCAGAAGCATTCTTTCCTGACATTTTGTCTGCATTTATGGCAGGCATCCTCAGAGCTTGTGAGCTTCTCATACTGAGGTCTTCTTATACCAAGGCTTCTCTCTAGCTGAGGCCTACTAACACACTGAGGCTGTTCTCCCACAGAGACCTTGCACACTGAGGGCTACTAAGCTACAGGCACACTGCTTATACAGAGCTGCAGCTTTTGCTGAGTCATTGTATCCATTTAACCCTTTCAGTGCTTGGCTCACATTTTTGTAATTAAAAATACCTCGTTATTTTAAATATTTCTGACACAGCCTTCAGTCCTTTCTGCTTTTCTTTTCCCTCAGGTTATCTCCTCTCCAAACGTGAAGGCCAAGCGGGATCCCCAGAGAAGCCGTTATCTGATTTGGGCCGCCTCTCCTACATGGCGTACTGGAAAAGTGTAATCTTGGAGTGCCTTTATCATCAAAACGACAAGCAGATCAGCATCAAGAAGCTCAGCAAACTGACAGGCATCTGCCCTCAGGACATCACTTCCACTCTGCACCACCTGAGGATGCTGGACTTCCGCCACGACCAGTGAGTGCTTCTGTGATAGGGCCAGGAGGGATGAAAGGGCAAGCTCTGTGAGCAAGGGGAGGAAGGGCCCAAGTCCTGCAGTAGCAGGCAGGAAGGCAGCAGAAATCCTGAAAACCATCGCTACCCCATTACGGTTTCATCACTATGTCTGTGAATCTGTGGGCAACGCCTGTTGAGATTTATTTTATTTACAGTATTTCTATTCTGCCCTTCTCACCCCGCAGGGGACTCAGGGCAGATTACAATGTACACATATATGGCAAACATTCAATGCCAAAGACACACAACAGATATAGACATACACCAGGGGTCCTTAACTAAGGCTCGGGGGCCGGATATGGCCCTCCAAGGTCATTTACCCGGCCCTTGCTCTCGGAAACCTACCTTTTGCTCCCTTGAAAACAGTAGTACAGTTGTAATGCAATACACTCACTGCCCCAGAGGTAGCTATAAGTGACTAAATATTTAAGAGCCGCTTTGATATAATTTTTAAAATATATGAATTAATAAATCAGATGCATAACCCATGCAGTGTGACATTTCACTAAATAGCACTGTTACTTCCTTCCATTGGAATCTCTCCCTTAGGCGCTTCCAAATCCACTTAGGGTACATCTACAGTATAGACTTAAAGCTGTTTGACACCACTTTAACTGCTATAGGTCAATGCTACAGAAACCTGCAAGTTGTATTTTGGTGGGGCAACAGCACTCTTTCACAGAGAACACTAAAGACCTTGTAAAACTACAATTACCAGAATTCCATAGCATTAAGCCAGAGCAGTTAAGTTGATGCCAAACTGCATTAATTCTACATTGTATATGCACCTAAAGGCCTTCTCTGATCTGTTTTTCCTGGGGAAATGACTTGAAAGCACACAACAACAACAACAATCCTATCTCATTAGCCAAAAGCAGGTCCACACTTCCTATTGAAATACTAATAAGTTTATATTTGTTTAAATTGTTCTTGATTTTAATTATTGTATTGTTTTTAAGTGTTTTTTGCACTACAAATAAGATATGTGCAGTGTGCATAAGAATTCATTCATGTTTTTTTTTTCAAATTATAATCCGGCCCTCCAACAGTTTGAGGGACTATGACATGGCCCTCTGTTTAAAAAGTTTGTGGACCCCTGACATACACAGAGGCTATTTAACTTTTCTGGCCCCCAGGGGAGCTGTCGCTTTCATCGTCCATCTGCGACACTGCTGAAGTATTTCCGCATTCCCCGCATGCTTTGCTGGAGTGCTTTTTGCTGGAATCTTTTTTATGGCCTCATAAATTAGTTAAATTAGCTTCCCCACACATGGGTGGTACCTAATTTTCCTACTTGACAGATGCAACTGTCTTTCAGGTTGCAAAGGTCGACGACAAGCTACACAATTGGTCGGAAACTCACTCCGACCCGGGCTGGCTTCGAACTCATGACCTTTTGGTCAGAAGTGATCTTAATGTAGCTGACACTCAGACAGCTGCGCCACAATCTCAGCAGCCAGGGAGATAGCTGGAATTACTGTAATGACTTTTTGTGGATAGGGTCTGCCTTTTAGGATACAAATCATTTTGAGGTATCACAATGACCACAATTATTATTTGTTGGTGCCTTTAAGTGGAAATCAAATTGTGGTGCCTCCATCTTAAATCGTTCTGATAGATTTCCTATTGTCTTTTGTAAAGGTCACAGTGATACACCGATAGTTATCCAGTGTGTTCCCGCAGGAAGGGTTCAAGCTTTGGCCTCCCCAAGTCCTAATCCAACATTATAATTTCTGCACAATTTTGGCTCCAAATGTTTTAATAAGGTCACAACAATCAAGATGATAGATGTCCTTGAAGTGGTGTCTGTGGACGTTCAACGAGAATGGATCTTGGTGTTCTTTTCTGTCCTTTTTGGGATCAAGCAGTAGATAACATTTGGTTGCAGTGAGTTTTCTGGGCTGCCTGGCCATGTTCCAGAAGCATTCGCTCTTGACGTTTCGCCCACATCTATGGCAGGAGGCACCCTCAGAGGTTGAGGGGTCTCTTGGAAAACTAGACAAGTGAGGTTTATATCTCTGTGGAATGATGTCCAGGGTGGGAGAAAGAACTCGTTGTCTGTCGGAGGCAAGAGTGAATGTTGCCATTGGCCACCTTGATTACCATTAGCCATTGGCCACCTTGATTAGCCACCTTGATTAGCATTTAACACAGAAATGCTGGACCACGCTAAAAGCAAAAAGACATGGTCAGATAAACAGAAGAAAATTAAAGAAATTTGGACTATTTAAAAGATGGTTATAGGTCGTTAAACCAGATGATGAAAGCTGGAAGAAAAAAATGGATAGAATCGAAAAAAGGCTCATGTAACGGGTAAAAAAAGGATTACATTGTCATCAGGGTAAAGGGAGGGGTGGGAGTGGGGAGGGAGAAGGGAATGAAAAAGTATAAAATGCATGGTAATTATTTATTTATTTATTTATTTATTTACTTTGCTTATATACCGCTGTATCTCAAGCCCGAAGGCGACTCACTGCGGTTCACAAACAGTAAAAACAGTAGAAACAGCAGTGGTTCCATACAACATATAACAATTGACTTAACACATTATCCATAAATTACCAATAAGCAGTTACAATGCACAATTATTACAAAAAACAACCGTACCCAATCTTCTCATCATCCAAGTGTAGTCCAGGTTCGTCGTCCATTGTTCCATTCCTATGGTTATGTATAGTTGTTTTATAAGAATAATAAAAAAAATAAAGAAATGCTGGACAACTTTAACAGCTACCATGTCAGACTACACAGAGAAGCCATTGAAATCCACAAGCATGTGGACAACTTCAACAGAAAGGAATAAAACATGAAATTGATCAAAATCTGACCCTTGTATTAAAAAAAAACTCTAAAAACAGGACAGTAAACAAAGAGCAACACTCAAAAAGCAGGGAATTCCAGACAGGAATCAATCAGGTACAGCTAACACCTCCAAACAAAGGATTCCCCCAGGCAGGAATCAGCCAGACTTTGAAGCAGCAAGGCCATTAAATGCTAATCAAGGTGGCCAGTTTCAACATTCACGCTGGCCTCAAGCAGACAAGAGTTCTTTCTCCCACCCTGGACATTATTCCACGGATATATAAACCTCACTTGTCTGGTTTTCCAGCAGACCCCTCAACCTCTGAGGATGCCTGCCATAGATGTGGGTGAAACGTCAGGAAGGAATGCTTCTGCAATATGGCCAGACAGTCCAGTAAACTCACAGCATCCCAGTGATTCTGGCCATGAAAGCCTTCGACACAGTAGATACAATTTAGAGAACCTTGGTATCTTTTTCTCTACCAGCAGAATAAATAATGCAAAATAATTTTTAAAAATGAAGAATTCGCAGGCAAATTATGCAGCTCACCTCAGTTTTCATAATTTGTGCATATCTTTTCATGGCAGAGGATTCCGATTGCCTAGATCAGTGTTTCTCAATCTGGGAGTCGGGACCTCTGGGGGGTCGCGAGGGGATGTCAGAGGGGTCGCCGAAAACCAGAATATACAATATTTTCTGTTGGTCATGGGGGTTCTGTGTGGGAAGTTTGGTTCAATTCTGTCGTTGGTAGGGTTCAGAATGCTCTTTGATTGTAGGTGAACTATAAATCCCAGCAACTACAACTCCCAAATATCAAGGTCTATTTTCCCCAAACTCCATCTGTGTTCACATTTGCGCACATGGGATTATTCATGCCAAGTTTGGTCCAGATCCATCATTGTTTGAGTCAGCAGTTCTCTCTGGATGTTGGTGAACTACAACTCCAAAACTCAAAGTCAGTGCTCACCGAGCCCTTCCAGGGTTTTCTGTTGGTCATGGGAGTTCTGTGTGGCCAAGTCTGGTTCAAATCCATCATTGGTGGAGTTCAGAATGTCCTTTTATTGTAGGTGAACTATAAATCCCAGCAACTACAACTCCCAAATGACACAATCAACCCAACCCCCCCCCCCTCCCCAAACTCCACCAGTATTCTAATTTGAGCAGGTTGGGTATTTGCGCCAAATTTGGCCCAGTGAATGGAAATACATCCTGCGTATCAGATATTTACATTATGATTCATAACAGTAGCAAACTTACAGTTATGAAGGAGCAACAAAATCAATGTTATGGTTGGGGGTCACCACAACATAAGGAACTGTATTAAGGGGTTGCAGCATTAGGAAGGTCGGGAAACACTGGCCTAGATAAAGAATTGTAATATTGTCGAAGGCTTTCATGGCCGGAATCACTCAGTTCTTGTGGGTTTTTTCGGGCTATATGGCCATGTTCTAGAGGCATTTCTCCTGACGTTTCGCCTGCATCTATGGCAAGCTTCCTCAGAGGTCCTCTGAGGAAGCTTGCCATAGATGCAGGCGAAACGTCAGGAGAAATGCCTCTAGAACATGGCCATATAGCCCGAAAAAACCCACAAGAACTGAATTGTAATATTCCTACAGACACAGAACCCTGGCCCTGAGCCCTCTTACTTTAACAGCTCCCTATCGTAGTAAAAAGCATGGAACAAAATGAAATGGAGAAGCAGTTACATAATTGGCGTGTCGTGCCTCTACTGGCTGCCTAATTAGTCGTTTGGAGGCAGGCGGTGGAGTGTCGCAAAGAGCTCATGGAAGAGAAAAACATGCTTTTGCTGCTCTTCCAGTTTAGGTGTTGGGAAGATTAGGACATCGGGTGTAGGCCAGTGACTTCCTTGTGCCGACTAGTCGCTCAAATCTAGTGCGTTGGCAAAAGAGTGACAAGCAGATGGCCACTGAGACTATGAACAACTCAGAAACTGAAATTTTGTACCCATGCAGTCATTGGTGCTGGAAGAGTAGATAGAGAACATCTGCAGTCTACATCTTGTTCAGACATCCACAGTTACTCTTACATGTCATAATATGTATTGGATGTTTATGTTGGGTGAGTGGGCTTATTAATAAAAGACCCTCCTCATAAATGTACAGCAGAGATGAAAAAAATTTAATAGACATGCTATTAACAGCAGCTAGACTATTAGTTGCAAAATATTGGAAAGGGGCAATGAAAATACTGATTAATGAATGGTATAAAGAAATCTGGAAAATGGCATTGACTGATAAGCTAACATCAAACTGAAAAGTAAAGAAGGGATTATGTAAAAAAAATGACTTTGAAAGTATCTGGAGAAAATATCTAGAAAAATTATTGGAAAAAGAAGATGGGAATTTACCTCCAAATGAAGAACTGATTTTTTGGTGGGACTTTAAGAAAAGAGATGGCTCTGGAGAAGGGGAGCACAGGGGTGAATGTAAATAAAAGAGAGGGAAATGTATAGTATATGTCTATATAACTGTATTTTCTCTTCTCAAATATTTTTTTTTAAAAAAATAGAAAAAAATAAATGTACAGCAGAGTAACTTAGCCGCAGCAGTGGCGTGACCCAGCACCAGGAGCTCAAAGTGATAAAAAAGAACAAAAACACTGGACCCATGTGATCTCTTTAACAGGAGGCTTTATTTATTTCTTTATTTATTTTATTTACTTCATTTATATACCGCTTTTCTCAGCCCTTGGGCGACTCAAAGCAGTTAAGAATAGCAAAATTCAATGCTCAACATCATAAAAAGAGTTAAAAAACAGTTAAAAACAATGATATAATAAACAATCAATTAAACGTAACAATAATATCTCATTAGCATCTCATAGGTAGAATCAAGATCCAATCTCATAATCCATTGTTCCATGTCCCTATATTCAATACACTAGTATTGTCATTCTAGTCCATGTCCTTTAAACTCTACAAACATCCACTGTCCAAAGGCCTGGTCCCAAAGCCATGATTTTAATTTCTTTCTGAAAGCCAGGAGGGAGGGAGCAGATCTTACCTCATTTGGGAGTGTGTTCCATAGGCAAGGGGCCACCACCGAGAAGGCCCTGTCTCTCGTCTCCGCCAGACGCATTTGCGCAATTGACAGGAGCGAGAGTAGGACCTCCCGGATGATCTTAGATTACGAGATAGGACATAGGGGTGGATGCGTCAGGACAAGTAAGCTGGGCAACTCCCAGCAGTCCTCCTGACCAATCTATCCACCTACCTATCTATCTCTATCTAATCTACCCATCTTCTCTATCTGAAGGATTGCTAGGAGTTGTAGTCCAGAATTGGAAATTGGAAATGTGCAGGGATTGGGATGTTCTCAAAGAAATCCAAGGAGAAGAAAGCTTGCAGCTTGGAAGCAGTGCATTTGGAGCATCCTCCTCTCCTAAAGGGCCTGGTCTAGGGGATGCTGGGAGTCGTTTTGCGCATGAGTGGTAGCGTCTTTTGGGTTTTTTTTTTTTTTTTTGCTTTTTAAGTCCCTTCCGCTTTGTTTTTCAGTGTTTTTATGAGTGATGGCCACACGGTGACCTGGTATAGTGTCCAAATTTGGTGTCAATTCTTCCAGTGGTTTTTGAGTTATGTTAATCTCCCAAACGAACATTACATTTTTATTTAGTCGCCCAAGGGCTGAGAAAAATGGTATATAAATGAAGTAAATAATAATAAATAATAATAAAATAACATCTGGGTGGATGCATGTCTCCCACCCCAAGACGTGTATCAGTTAGCATGACATGAAGATTTGGGAGCTATCTTGAACTGTGGTGAGCTTTAGGTGCCCTGTTTTTCTGGGCTGCTCACATCATCTCTTTGGCTGGCTCTTCCCCGAGTACGTTTTCCTTTCCTTGCATTGTTATGGGTGCGACCTGCACTCAACAACAACCAACTGAAGATTTTGTTTCTTCTCAGATTTGTGATTGTTCGGCGGGAGAAACTCATCCAAGACCACATGGTGAAGCTGAAACAGAACCACCGGCCTGTCACTGTGGATCCCGAATGTCTACGCTGGACTCCTGTCATTGTTTCAAACTCTGTGGTTTCAGAGGATGAAGAAGAAGAACCTGATGACGGGGACAATGAGGATCAGCATCAGCCAAAGGAGAGAGAAATAGAGGTCAGCAAGAAATACATTTTATTCCTTATTTCTCTTCTTGTTGTTGTTTTAAAAATTATCTGTATGTAAAACTCTAGTAAAGATATACTAAAAAAGAAATACATTTACACTAGTACACACTCGCTACCTAATTTAGTTATGCAGCCCTTGTGAATAGCAATTTATTGTGAGTCTGGCTACAGGATTATTCTTTTGTACCTTTTCTTCCAGCAGAGGTTGTCAGGAATTTCTAGTATGCTAAATGTTTCTAGTATGACTGCCTTGAGTCATGGGTAAGGAGAAATGCAGTATATTAAGAAAGGAAAAGGATGCTTCTGTGTTGATAAAGGTAAAGTTTTTCCCCTGACATTAAGTCCAGTCTTGCCTGACTCTGGTGCTCATCTCCATTTCTAAGTCGAAGAGCCGGCTTTGTCCGTAGACACCTCCAAGGTCATGTGGCCGGCATGACTGCATGGAGAGCCGTTACCCTGTGTTATCTGTGCTGATAACAAGTTCAATTTTGAAAATGGCTACAGGGATTGTTCAGAAGAGAGGAAAGAAGGGAGGAGAGTATAGATGAGCTGGGAATCGAGGAAGAAGGGCGGGAAATCAGAGGCAACAGGAAAGTGGCTTGATATAACTTGGGGGTTGGGACGATGATTGACACTCCCTCGATGTATACTTAATTAAAAAATTCTCAATAAAAATTATTAAATTTAAAAAATTAAAAAAAGAATTTTGGAGTTGTAGTTCACCAACTTCAGAAAACACTGTGGACTCAAACAATGATGATCTAGACCAAACTTGGCATGAATAATCAATATACTCAAATGTGAACAATGGTGGAGTTTGGCGAAATAGATCTTGACATTTGGGAGTTGTAGTTGCTGGGATTTATAGTTCACCTACAATCAAAGAACATTCTGAACCCCACCAATGATGGAATTGTGCCAAACTTCCCACACAGAATCCTCATGACTAACAGAAAATACTGTGTTTTCTGATGGTCTTAGGTGACCCCTCTGACACCCCTTCACGACCTCCCAAGGGGTCCCGACCCCCAGGTTGAGAAACACTGTCTTCAGAGGTGAGATAAATAAATTTAAAATATATATATATATTTGTTTTTCCTCCCCGTGTCAGGTGATCAAGTCTATGTCCTGGGAAAGAAAAGAACGAGAAGTGTCTTGCTTCCCTCTGGAGATTGAAAAAAAGGCAGAACCCGCCCCTCCCGCCAACCCTGGTCGGCACAACAAGCCAAGTCTTCCCCTGGCCGGTCTTCCCGCAAACAGCCAGGCACCGCGGAGGGGCCGGTGGAGCCGGAAGAACAACCGGAAGCAACGGGAGGCCTTTGCTAAGAAGGACTCCAAACCCCACTTAGAAGAGAAATCGGCCATGGCCAGAGGGGGCCGCTGCGGGGAGTGCCAGGAAAAGGCTGCCGCCGCTGCTGCCGCCGCCGCCGCTACTGCTGCCGCCGCCTCTCGAGGGAGATTTGGAGAGAGTGAAGAGAAGACCACTTCTGCTGCTGCCCAGGGACAGTGCGGCAAGTGCGAGGAGAAGGCCCCTTCTCACCGCGGGCACTTTGGCAAAGATGAGGAGAAGCCCGCCGTCTCCCAAGGACAATATGGGAAAGGAGAAAAGCCCTCGGCGACCCAGAGGCGTTACAGCGACACCATGGAGACCTGGAGAGGGCAGCTGAAAACCCACGAGCCCCTCAAGAGCAGCAGGGTCGCCCAGGAGTGCGGGAGGATACCCCGGCGGCACAGCACTCCCAGCGAGAGGGCCCTGCCCAGGCACTTCAGCGAGAGCAGCGAAGAGGAAGAGGAGGAGGAGGAGGAGCCCGCCTCCCCCTGCTCCAGCTCCCCTCCGGTGCTCACCAAACCCACGCTGAAGCGAAAGGTGCGTGCTTCACCTCTCGGGGTTGCGTTTGGCTCCGTAGCTTCAGGCACTCTTCTTGGAGAACCCGCTTTCCTCTGCTAATCTGTGCTGCAAAGGTGTTGCCATTGCTTTCCCCTTGGATTGTACCCATATTACAACTCTTCAGCAGCCAGGGACTGCTGAATCAAACAGCAGTCAAACAGCAGCAGCGGAGGTGTTTCAGGCCACCTCCTAGCTGTTACCTTGGTCCATCTTTTGGGGGTATCGTATACACTCGAGTATAAGCCGACCCGTCCTGAGTCCCTCTTCGGAGGTTGAGATAGGACGGGATATAAAAGCCCAAAATAAATAATAAATAGATATGCCAAGGGACCTAATTTATACCAAAAGAAATCTGGGAAAACTTATTGACTCAATAATAATAATAATAATAATAATAAACCATTAAACCATTATTCTGACCTTCTTCCATGTAAATGTGCTTCCATATCCTTCCCAATAATAATAGCGTAAAATAATAAATATAAAAATAATAGAGCAAAATAATGGAAATGTAATAATAACAATAATTAATAGAGTAAAATAATAAATGTAATAATAATAATAATAACAATAATAAATTATAAATGTAATAATAATAATAAACAATAAAATAATACATGTAATAATAGTAATAGTAATAACAACAGAGTAAAATAATAAATATAAGAATAATAGAGCAAAATAACAGAAATAATAAATATAATAATAAAAATAATAAATAAATTATAAATATAATAATAATAAACAGAATAAAATAAAAATAAAAAACATGGTGTTTGTACAAAGGCCGCACAATTCCAGAATGTAGGTTTCTATGACTGGTTTTGCTTTCCATAACGCTCTGCCTTTCTTCCCTCTTACAGAAGCCCATCCCTCGAAAGCGGCGGGTCCGGAAGCGCAAGTACCACAACAGCAGCGTGGTGACGGAAACCATCTCTGAGACGACCGAGGTTCTGGATGAGCCCTTTGAAGACTCTGACTCGGAGAGGCCCATGCCTCAGCTGGAGCCCACCTTCGAGATGGAGGACGAGGAGGACGAGGAAGAAGAAGAGAGCGAGCCGTTCTCCCGGGGGTACCTTCGGCACCTCTCTCCCCAGGACTCCCACAGGCACCGGCCCTCCTCCAAGCGGGCGTCCCAGGCTGAGGAGGACTCAGATGAGGCCGCTGGTATGCTTCCCAAACAGGGATACCAATTGTGTGCATGGCTCAGTTTTCCTCTAGGCTGTTAGGAATTGTGGGAGTTGGAGTCCAAAACCCCTGGAGGGCTGAAGTTTGCCCATGCCTGATACAGAACATGTAGGATTGCCTCATCAAGGGGAGACATCATTCCCACCTCATTTTTGACTTTGGGTGGCACCGTGAACTGCAAAATGGGGTGGGAATTATGTCTCTGCATAAGGAGGCAATCCTACATGTTCTATATCAGGCATGGGCAAACTTTTTAACTTAGGGGCCACATGGCGGGCAGGTCGGGAGGGAGGGGGTCCTCCCCAAGCCCCCTCGCTGCCCTTTCCTCCCCTTCCTCTTCTCTTTCAGAGGCAGAAAGTAAAGGAAAGACAGGAAATGGTTGGATCCCAAAAGGGTTGGCCTTGGTCAGGAGGAGATGATGGAGGGGAGAGAAAAAGGGTATCCGTTACACCCCGTATTGCCTACTCCTGATAGAGAATCCTAGAATCCTAGAGCTGGAAGAGACCCCCTAGGGCCATCCAGTCCAACCCCTTGCCATGCAAGAAGGCACAATCCAAGCACTCTCAACAGACTGACTATGAAAAATCCCCCAGCGAAGGAGCCGTCACCACACTCCAAGGCAGCCTAGGAAGGAAGGGTGGAAGGGAATGGAGGGAAGGAAGGAAAGAAGGAAGAAAGAAAAGAAAGAAGGAAAGAAAGACAAAGGGGAAGGAAGGAAGGAGAAAGAGGGAAAGAGGGAAGGAAGGGAGAATGAAAGGGTTGAAGGGAAGGAGGGAGAAAGAGGGAGGTAAGGTAGGAAAGGAGGGAGGGAAGGAGGAAGGAGAGATAAAAGGGAAGAAAGGAAGGACGAAAGTATGGAAGGGAGGATGGAAGGAAAGAAGGAAGGGTGGGTGGAAGGGAATGGAGGGAGGGAGGGAAGGAAAGGAAGGAAGGAAGGAAGAAAGAAAGACAGACAAAGGGGAAGGAAGGAAGGAAGGAAGGAAGGAAGGAAGGAAGGAAGGAAGGAAGGAAGGAAGGAAGGAGAAAGAGGGAGAGAGGGAAGGAGGGAGGAAAGAGGGAAGGAAGGGATAATGAAAGGGTGGAAGTGAAGGAGGGAGAAAGAGAGAGGTAAAGTAAGAAAGGAGGAAGGATTTATAAAAGGGAAGAAAGGAAGGATGGAAGTGTAGAAGGGAGGGAAAGGAAAGAAGGAAGGAAGGGTGGATGGGTGGAAGGGAATGGAGGGAGGGAGGGAGGGAGGGAGGGAAGGAAGGAAGGAAGGAAGGAAGGAAGGAAGGAAGGAAGGAAGGAAGAAAAAGAAAGAAAGAAAGACAGACAGACAGACAGACAAAGGGGAAGGAAGGAAGGAGAAAGAGGGAGAGAGGGAAGGAAGAGGAAGGATGAAAGGGTGGAAGGGAAGGAGGGAGGGAGAAAGGGCGGTAAGGGAGGGAGGGAAGGAAAGAGAAATAAAAGAAGGAAGGAGATAAAAGGGAAGGAAGGACAAAAGGGTGGAAGGGAATGGAGTGAGTGAGGGAGGGAGGAAGAAAGAAGGAAGGATAGAAGGAAGGAGAAAGAGGGAGAGAGGGAAGGAGAAAGAGATAAGGAAAGGAGGGAGTAAAGGAAAGAGAAGGAAGGAAGGATAGGATGGGGAGAGAGAGGAGGGAGAAGAGCCCAAGGGGCCACACCCAGCTCCCTGGCCTGGGTTAGCCCATACCTGCTCTATATGGACATCAAAGCGTGAACTCATCCCATTGTGCTACTTTCCCCCTGATGGTAATGGCATGAAGGCCACTGAGTAAATCTTCATCACATCCTCCCCAAAGGCAGGAACCAGTGTGGGGAAGCTGGTACTAGCCTTGGCTGCTTCATCTTCCCCCTAAAGTGCTTTTATGCCCCCTTCTTTGATTTAGGCCATTAAACTGCATTTAACCTCTTCAAACGGCAGTCAGTGAGACCAGAAACTCTCTTGAATACACCTATCAAGCTGAGTCATTTTGTAAGAAGGCTGTTGTTATGTTTTATTAACGAAGGTAGCCCCCTTCATGCCCAGTGACTGTGAAATTCTTGGCTGTGATGCTAGACTACTTTTTGAAGAAATCAATTCCAGAACAGGAGAAGCGGCTCCCAGTTTATTGTCGAAGTATTGTCGAAAGCTTTCATGGCCGGAATCACTGGGTTGTTGTAGGTTTTTTTGGGCTATATGGCCATGTTCTAGAGGCATTTTCTCCTGACGTTTCGCCTGCATCTATGGCAAGCATCCTCAGAGGTAGTGAGGTCTGTTGGAACTAGGAAAATGGGTTTATATATCTGTGGAATGACCAGGGTGGGACAAAGGGCTCTTGTCTGCTGGAGCTAGGTGTGAATGTTTCAACTGACCACCTTGATTAGCATTTGATGGCCTGGCAGTGCCTGGGGCAATCTTTTGTTGAGAGGTGATTAGATGTGCCTGATTGTTTCCTTTCTGTTGTTTTGCTGTTGTAATTTTAGAGTTTTTTAATACTGGTAGCCAGATTTTGTTCATTTTCATGGTTTCCTCCTTTCTGTTGAAATTGTCCACATGCTTGTGGATTTCAATGGCTTCTCTGTGTAGCCTGACATGGTGGTTGTTGGAGTGGTCCCGCATTTCTGTGTTTTCCAATCATATGCTGTGTCCAGGTTGGTTCCTCAGGTTTAATTTAAGGCATTGGTATGCTAGCTGATATCCAAAGAGAGGATGGGCTGAAGATGTCAATGCCCTGGTCCTTTCATTATTGGCTGCTACTTCCTGGCAGATGTCAGATGGTGCAATACCAACTAAACAGTGCAATTCCTCCACTGGTGTTGGGCATAGAAATCCTGTGATAATGCAACATGTCTCTACATCCATTGTTTTAGCATGGTGAGATGTATTCCACACTGGGCTTGCATATTCAGCAACAGAGGAGCAAAGTGCAAGGGCAGATGTCTTCACTGTGTCTGGTTGTGATCCCCAGGTTGTGCCAGTCAGTTTTTGTATGATAGTATTTCTCGCACCCACGTTTTGCTTGATAGTCAACCAGTGCTTCTCGTAAGTCAGAGCACAATCCAGAGTGACTCCCAGGTATTTGGGTCTGCTGCAATGCTCCAGTGGGATTCTTTCACAGGCAGTCCTTAGAACTCAAGATGCTTGTCTGTTCTTAAGGTGAAAAGCACATGTATGTGTTTTAGATGGATTAGGGATCAGCTGGTTTTCCCTGTAATAGGCAGTAAGAGCACCTAGAGCTTCGGAGAGCTTCTGTTCTACCATCTCAAAGCTCCCTGCTTGAGCGGTGATGGCATGATCATCAGCATAGATGAAACTCTCTGTCCCTTTTGGCAGTGGCTGGTCATTTGTGTAAATGTTCAACATTGATGGAGCAAGCACGCTCCCCTGAGGCAGGCCATTCTTCTGTTTCTGCCATCTGCTTCTCTGGCCCTGGAACTCAACAAAAAAGCTTCTGTTGTAGCGGATTTCCAATGAAGCGGATGAGGTGGCAATCCTTTGTCATATTATAATTTTTTTCTCAGAAGAAGGTGATGATTTACAGTACCACATGCTGGTGACACATCTATGAAGACAACTCCAGTCCACATGCTATCTTTTTGGCATATCCAAAGGGCACACAGATTCTGGCGTTCTGCTACAAAGTAGAACTACAGTGTTTAATTGGTAAACTAAAATTTTGTGTTTGATAACACTTTGTGGCCCTGGGTGTTAAGGAGGCCCATCTTAGCCTGAGTGCGTGGCATGGAAGCTATGTCGTTTGTTAATTCAATGGTGATCAAGAATGGGAAAAGGGCAGTTGAAATTCTCATTGCTGCTTTCAGTAATGAGCGGTAACCTAACTAAATCATAGATTATCATGTCTTTTCCTCCAGTGTGTTAATGGAGAATGTCTGTTGAGGCTTCGGTCATTGTTGGTCATACGTTCAAACATCTACAGGTCCTTCCATTTCAGATCCGATTAGAGGGGGGATTATAGGTTCAGCCTTTTAACCTTCTCTCTCATTTTTGTGTCTTTTTCAGGTTCTCCCACCTTGAAACCAGTCACCATGCTGAGAAAATGTGAGGCAAAAGATTCTCCGCTCCAGCCGGACACCTCCACGCCCATGAAAAAGAAGAAGGGTTGGCCCAAGGGCAAAAGCCGGAAGCCCATCCACTGGAAGAAAAGGCCCGGACGCAAGCCGGGATTCAAGCCGAAGAGGGGGAAGGTCCCAGCCCCTTCCCCAGAAGAGGAGTCAGATCCCGTGGAGGCCACGCCGAAACCCGGGCGCAAACCCAAAGCGCAGGAGAAGGAAGAGCCTGTTGAGCAGAAGGAAGAACTGCCTGTTGCAGAGGAGGGGAAAGAAGAAGACGCGTCTACCGAAGCTGGGGATCTGGGGGAAGGGGAGGAAGAGGAAGAGGAAGACGCACCTGCCAGCGAAGCCCGAGTGGCATCTCCTTTAGGAAGCAGCAAAAGCCCGGCCGCAGAAGTGAAAGAACCCGAGATGGAGGAGGAAGCAGAGAAGCCGCCGGTCCTGGAAGAGCAAAGACAGTCCGAGGAAGAGAATCCAGAGATGGAGGAACCTGAGCGTGAACAAGAGGAGGAGGAGGAGGAGGCGGCAGCTGCAGCGGCCAACGAGAATGAAGACCACGATGCTGATGACGAAGAAGATGATGGCCACATGGAATCCACCAAGAAGAGTGAGTTGGAAGAGCAGACAGCGAAAGAGGAGTTGAAGGAAGAACCAGATGCCCAGGAGCCTTTTTTAGAGCCAAGCACCCAGGATGGTAGGGAGGAGGATGTGAAGAGCAAGAGTGAGGGAGAGGCAGACTCCGAGGAAGAGCAGGCATCCCACGAGACGTCTGTGGGGTCCGAACCTGCTCCTGCCTCCGAAGACGACCAAGAGGAAGAGCAGCAGGCGAAGGAAGGGCTGGTTGAGCTCAAGGAAGAGGAGCCAATCCCTCACAGCGAACTGGACCTTGAGACCGTCCAGGCAGTGCAGTCCTTGACGCAAGAGGAAGAGAACCACGACCATGAGGTGGCCTACCAGGACTGCGAGGAGACCCTGGCCGCCTGCCAGAACCTGCAGAGCTACACCAACGCGGAAGAGGATCCTCCGATGTCGATGGTCGAAGACTGCCAGGCCTCGGAGCACAACAGCCCCATCTCCTCGGTCCAGTCTCACCCCAGCCAGTCCGTGCGCTCGGTCAGCAGCCCCAGTGTGCCCAGCGCTCTGGAGAGCAGCTACACCCAGATCAGCCCCGAGCAAGGCTCTCTTTCCGCGCCTTCTATGCAGAACATGGAGACCAGCCCCATGATGGATGTGCCTTCCGTATCGGACCATTCCCAGCAGGTGGTGGACAGCGGCTTCAGCGACCTGGGCAGCATCGAGAGCACCACGGAGAACTACGAGAACCCCAGCAGCTACGACTCCACCATGGGGGGCAGCATTTGCGGCAACAACTCCTCGCAGAGCAGCTGCTCCTACGGCGGGCTCTCCTCCTCCAGCAGCCTCACCCAGAACAGCTGCGTGGTCACCCAGCAGATCGCCAGCATGGGCAACAGCTGCAGCATGATGCCCCAGGGCAGCGTCCCGCCCGCCACTAACTGCAATATTAAGTCTCCCCAGAGCTGCGTGGTTGAAAGGCCGCCGAGTAACCAGCAGCCGGCGGCACAGCCCTCTCAGCCGCAGGCTCAAGCTCAGCAGCCACAGCCACCACCTCCTTCACAGCAGCAGCAGCAGCAACAACAACAGCAGCAGCAGCAACAACAACAACAGCAGCAACAGCAGCAGCAGCAACAACAACAACAACAACAACCACCGTTGTCTCAATGTAGCATGAACAACAGTTTCACCCCAGCACCGATGATTATGGAAATCCCTGAATCCGGCAGCACCGGCAACATCAGCATCTATGAGAGGATTCCCGGAGACTTTGGTGCCGGTGGCTACTCCCAGCCCTCTGCCACCTTTAGCTTAGCCAAGTTGCAGCAGCTGACCAACACCATAATGGACCCCCATGCCATGCCTTACAGCCATTCTCCTGCGGTGACTTCCTATGCAACCAGCGTGTCTTTGTCCAACACCGGCCTGGCTCAGTTGGCCCCGTCTCACCCCCTGGCCGGGGCGCCCCAAGCACAAGCCACCATGACGCCCCCGCCCAACCTGGCCTCCACCACCATGAACCTCACCTCGCCCCTCCTCCAGTGCAACATGTCCACCACCAACATCGGCATTCCCCACACCCAGCGGCTGCAGGGGCAGATGCCGGTCAAGGGGCACATTTCCATCCGCTCCAAGTCGGCCCCGCTGCCCGCAGCCACCGCCCACCAGCAGCAGCTCTACGGCCGCAGCCCTCCCGCCGTGGCCATGCAGGCCAGCCCCCGGGCCTTGGCCGTCCAGCGGGGCATGAACATGGGGGTGAACCTGATGTCGACCGCCCCGTACAACGTCAACTCCATGAATATGAACACCCTGAACGCGATGAACAGCTACCGGATGACCCAGCCCATGATGAACAGCAGCTACCATAGCAACCCTGCCTACATGAACCAGACGGCCCAATATCCTATGCAGATGCAAATGGGAATGATGGGGAGCCAAGCCTATCCCCAGCAGCCTATGCAGCCAAACCCTCATGGGAACATGATGTACACTGGCCCCTCGCATCACAGCTACATGAATGCTGCCGGGGTGCCCAAGCAGTCGCTCAACGGACCCTACATGAGAAGATGAGCGAGCAGACCTGGCCAGCGCTTTCGAAACTCACACACAACCAAGAGACACGCAGACACAAACCTCACAGGAAAAACAAAATCATAACGAACTGAAATCCCTATAAATAAAGGAACCTTTTATACTGACAAAGCAGACGATGGACCTTTTTCCAGTTAAATATTGCTGTAGATTTTAGATGGGGTTTTGTTCCCTTTGGTTTCTTTTGTTCTATTATTATTATTATAATTATTATTATTATGATAATTATTATTATTGTTATTATTTTTAGGGGGCCTGGTCTCTATTCTTTTCACGTTTTGTGGGGTTTCTCTTGTGTTGATGGGTCTTCGTTTTCCTCCGCAGTACCTGGAACGCTTCACTCAGTCCAAAGCCATTTTTAAAATGGGCTACGGTCTTTCTTCCTTCCCCCTCCCCTCTCCCCTTCGGTTTGGTTTCAGGGAGGGGATGATGGAGTATGTGCACAAGGCCTTTCCGTAGCTGGACACAGAGCCTGACTTTGCTGGCCACCTGCGCAGCGCGAGGACATGTCCAACGGCCACATCCCTCCCTCCCTCTCCCCTTGGGCACAGCTCTTAAGATGGCCTGATCTCTAAAGGCTCCTGTCTTCCCCTTCTGAGTCTTATTTCAGGTCTGTCGTGGGACATGCGGTGCCCATATAGCGCCCAAAGCAAACTCTCTGACCCTCTTTGACCACCTCTCTCTCTCCCTTCCTGCTTGACTCTCCTCTAGCAATCGGAACGGTTTATTTCCTTGCACCCATACACACACCCTTCAAATATATTTAAGCGTAGCTTCTAAAAGGTGTACTCATGCATACTCTAGACAGATACGGTTAGCTGCGGCACCTTAAGGGAGAGCTATGCAGACATTGTTTTGCCAGGGACCCCATGGAGCGCCATCAGGAATCTGACAGGCGAACCTTGCCAGCCGGGATGCCCAGGGTGCAGCTTGAAGGCCCTTGTTAGCCAGAGTAAACATTACGACCGCTTTGGGCTTCTCGTGGTTCGCCTCTCCCTGTTTGGGAGAGAGTGTGTGGCCCTGTCAGCCCTTTCCCTTCTCCTGAGGAGCATTGCGGGACTCCAGGCGTTCCCTCGGCCACATCTTTACGTGCCCAGACGGGATAGAGGAGGGAACGCCAGGGATGCTCTCACTGCAATATCCAGTCTCCCAGAGCTATGTGGTTGAAAGGCCATTGGCCAACGGTTGGCCTTGTTAGCTGGAGTGAACACTGCAACCGCTTTGGGCTTCTCGCGGTTTGTCTCTCCTTGTTGACATGTTTTGGAGAGATAGCATGGCCCTGTCAGTCCTTTCCCATCTCCTGGGGAGCATTGCAGGACTCCAGGCGTGTTCTTGGCCTTGTCTGTGCGTGTCTTTGTGTGCCCGGAAGGGATAGAGGAGGAAACGCCGGGGAGGCTCCCACTGCAATATCTAGTCTCCCCAGAGCCATGTGGTTGAAAGGTCATCGGCCAACGGTTGGCCTTTTTAGCCGGAGTGAACACTGCCACCACTTTGGGCTTCTCACGGTTTGTCTCTCCTTGTTGACACATTTTGAAGAGATAGGGTGGCCCTGACAGTCCTTTCCCATCTCCTGGGGGGCATTGCAGGACTCCAGACGTGTTCTTGGCCTTGTCTGTGCGTGTCTTTGCGTGCCCGGAAGGGATAGAGGCGGGAACGTCGGGGAGGCTCTCACTGCAATATCCAATCCCCCAGAGCTATGTGGTTGAAAGGCCATCGGCCAATGTTTGGCCTTTTTAGCCGGAGGGAACACTGCAACCACTTTGGGCTTCTTGCGGTTTGTCTCTCCTTGTTGACACGTTTTGGAGAGATAGGGTGGCCCTGTCAGCCCTTTCCCATCTCCTGGGGGGCATTGCAGGAGTCCAGGCATGCTCTTGGCCTTGTCTGTGCGTGTCTTTGCGTGCCCGGAGGGGATAGAGGCGGGAATGTCGGGGAGGCACTCACTACAATATCTAGTCTCCCCAGAGCTGTGTGATTGAAAGGCCAATGGTTGGTCAGCGGTTGGTCAGCAGTCCAACCCTCCACAGCCTACCACCGCCAGCTAAGGTAACATAACACACCAGGAGGAGGGAAACGTTGCTTGTCCTGATGTAAAGTTCTCTCTGTATATTCTTGTAGAGCTACAGATGCACTTAGAGTGACTTAGATGTGTAAAGACATTTCTACTTCTCCTACTTCTGCAAAGAAACCTTAAAGGCCGTTGTGGAGGGAGAGAGGGAGGAGGAGGAAGAGGGTTCAGCTGCACTAGGAAACAAAACAAAGGACTTCCTCTGTACTATCGAATATCTTGAAATAAAATTTAACAAAAGATAGAATCCCAAGGGCTTCCAGCCCGCGTTTTCTCTTAGTTCTTGAGCATGTGTACAAGGCTGAGGGTAGGACCCGCGGACCCACGTCCCTGTATATATATATAGATATATATCTACGAACCTGTCGTGCGCCAGAAAGGTGTTGCTCTCCTCCTCCTCCTTCTCCTTCCCGGAGGGAGACCCATTGCATTGGCGCCACTTCCGTGGGGCAGGTTTGTCAGGTGTCGAAAGCGAAGCTGTTGGCACAAGGGCCGTGAATTTTTTTTTTTTAGTTTTGTCTGCTGTTTACCCTTTTTTCCCAGTTTTTTGGGGGGTCTTTTTTGTATGTTTTTGTTTTGTTTTTAAGTCAAATCGGGCAGCTCCCCTTTCCCCCCACAAACCTTTGTGACTGTAGAGCTATTGTAGAGAACCGGCGTTCTTTTTCTATATTATTATTATAAAAAAAAAGAAAGTAAAAAGAAGTCTCTCCGACACAGTAATATTGGTACCTTGTCATTTTTTTTCCACTTCCGTTTAAGAAGAAAAAATAATAATTAATAATAATAATGTATTTTTAGCAAAAATAAAACTTGGGTAATCTAAAAGAAATTAAAAAAAAATCTCACTGTTAGTGACTTTGATGCCTTTTAAAGAAAAAAAAGAGCTTTTTTCATTTCATTCCATCTTTAAAATTTTTTATCTTTGTTGTAGAATATTAAAGACTATTTTAAGAAAGATGAAAATTCTCTTTAAAGAGATCTCTAGAGTGTGTGACTAGAGCTCCAGATGCCTCTAAAGCCGCATGTACAAAATGAAGCCGCGCGTCTATTCCTGTCTGTTTATATTTGCTTTTCCTGTTTTGTAACTTCTTTGTACTTTGTTCTTGGTGACTTGTAAGCTTCAAAGGGGAAGGGGTGCCTGGGTGAAAGACACAACACAACACAACAAAAACCAACAAAACCCTTTGTAATTCTCCACGTCGTCATGCGCTCCCGGCCGGCCGGCCTCCCTTCCTCCCTTTGTATGTAAGATCACTTCCTCCCTCCCTCCCTCCCCCCTTTCTAGCAAGTACTTTCAAAAGAACTCTGTACATTTTAACATAAAAAAATAAATTATGTTGAGCCATTTTGGATGTCTGGTTTTGCACATGGATTTCTTCTGGTTTTCTGAGATGTTGGGGAGCGGAATTGCGCAAGAAGTTGGTGGGTCAGTGTGCGCCGATTTATTGGGATTTTGAGGATATTTTGATCAAGACAGTGGAGGTTAAAGCTCCACCAGTTTCCATTGTTGTGTATCTTTGAGTCTTTTCCAAATAATTTTAATTATTTCATATCAAAAGCATTGCATAAATTAGTATAAAACCGATAGAAGTAGGAGCACGTAAAAAGATTTTTTGTTCATTCATTCAGTCGTCTCCGACTCTTCGTGACCTCCTGGACCAGCCCACGCCAGAGCTCCCTGTCGGCCATCACCACCCCCAGCTCCTTCAAGGTCAGTCCAGTCACTTCAAGGATGCCATCCATCCATCTTGCCCTTGGTCGGCCCCTCTTCCTTTTTCCTTCCACTTTCCCCAGCATCATTCCCTTCTCTAGGCTTTGCTGTCTCCTCATGATGTGGCCAAAGGACTTCCACTTTGTCTCTAGTATCCTTCCCTCCAGTGAGCAGTCGGGCTTATTTATTTCTCGTGTCAGGGCAGCCAGTCAATTATATTACATTTCTAACAGAACAAAGCAAACAAACAGAGAAAATACAACATTTCTGAGTTTTGGTAGTTGATTAAATGTCCTTTGACCAGTATCTGGCCACTTGGAGTGCCTCTGGTGTTGCCGCAAGAAGGTCCTCCATTGTGCATGTGGCAAGGCTCAGGTTGCATTGCAGCAGGTGGTCAGTGGTTGGCTCTTCTCCACACTCGCATGTCGTGGATTCCACTTTGTAGCCCCATTTCTGAAGGTTGGCTCTGCATCTCGTGGTGCCAGAGCGCAGTCTGTTCAGCGCCTTCCAAGTCGCTCAGTCCTCTGTGTGCCCAGGGAGGAGTCTCTCATTTGGTATCAGCCATTGGTTGATGTTCTGGGTTTGAGCCACTTTTGGACTCTCGCTTGCTGAGGCGTTCCAGCGAGTGTCTCTATAGATCTTAGAAAACTATGTCTGGATTTAAGTCATTGACGTGCTGGCTGATACCCAAACAGGGGATGAGCTGGAGATTTATTTATTTATTTATTTACTTTGCTTATATACCGCTGTTCTCAGCCCGGGGGCGACTCACAGCGGTGTCTCTGCCTTGGTCCTTTCACTATTAGCTGCTACTTCCCGGCGGATGTCAGGTGGTGCGATACCGGCTAAACAGTGTAGTTTCTCCAGTGGTGTAGGGCGCAGACACCCCGTGATAATGCGGCATGTCTCATTCAGAGCCACATCCACTGTTTTAGCGTGGTGAGATGTGTTCCCCGCTGGGCATGCATACTCAGCAGCAGAGTAGCATAGCGCAAGGGCAGATGTCTTCACTGTGTCTGGTTGTGATCCCCAGGTGCCAGTCAGCTTTCGTATGATATTGTTTCTAGCACCCACTTTTTGCTTGATGTTCAGGCAATGCTTCTTGTAGGTAAGAGCACGGTCCAGGGTGACTCCCAGGTACTTGGGTGTGCTGCAATGCTCCAGTGGGTAAAGGTTGTCCCCTGACATTAAGTCCAATTGTGTCTGACTCTGGGGGTTGGTGCTCATCTCCATTTCTAATCCGAAGAGCCGACGTTGTCCTTAGACACCTCCAAGGCACCGGGATTGTGGTGCAGCTGGCTTAGTGTCAGCTGCATTAAGATCACTCTGACCAAAAGGTCATGGGTTCGAAGCCAGCCCGGGTTGGAGTGAGTTTCCAACCAATTGTGTAGCCTCTTGTCGACCTTTGCAACCCGAAAGACAGTTGCATCTGTCAAGTAGGAAAATTAGGTACCACCTTAAAGTGTGGGGAGGCTAAATTAACTAATTTATGAGGCCATAAAAAAAGACTCCAGCAAAAAAGCATGCGGGGAATGCGGAAGTACTTCATCAGTGTCGCAGATGGACGATTAAAGCGACAGCTCCCCTGGCGGCCTCTGTTAAATAGCCTCTGTGTATGTCTGTATATGTTGTAAGTCAAAATTGGCATTGAATGTTTGCCATATATGTATACACTGTAGTCCACCCTGAGTCCCCTGCGGGGTGAGAAGGGCGGAATATAAATGCTGCAAATAAATAAATAAATAAGGTCATGTGGCTGGCGTGACTGCAAGGAGCGCCGTTACCTTCCCACCGGAGCGGTACCTATCGATCTACTCACATTTGCATGTTTTCGAACTGCTAGGTTGGCAGAGGCTAGGGCTGACAGCGGAAGTTCACGCCACTCCCCGGAATCGAACCTGCAACCTTTCGATCAACAAGCTCAGCAGCTCAGCACTTTAACCCACTGCGCCACCGGGGGCTCCATAGAAGGAGCACAAGTGGCTAAATACCTTTTGACCAAAAACGGGCAACAGCGACGGCATTGTCTGTAGCATCAAACAGTTCTCCCTCTGGCGGCCAATGGCAACATTCACACCTGCCTCCAACAGACAAGAGTCCTTTCTTTCTCCCACCCTGGGCATTCCACAGATCTATAATCCCCACTTGCCTCTTTTCCAACAGACCTCACAACCTCGATGATCCTGCCTTCTCACCCTTCATCTAAGTCATGAATGAAGATCCTGAACAGGACCGGGCCCAGGAGGGAACCCTGGTGATGGCCTTCCATGCCTCACTTCTTTCCAGGATGAAGAGGAAGGAAGCCTTGGGGAAAATCACCCTCTGGGTTTGTCCATGTAACTAATTACAGATCCACTTTCTTACGGAGTTTTCTGGGGCTGAGAGAGTGAGACTTGCCCAAAGTTTCCGTTGCTGAGCAGGGATTTGGACTTTGGTTTCCGAAGTTGTATTCTAACACTGAAGCCACAAAGGAACTTCACTCTTATACAGGATGCGGCATCATAGCATTTTTAAAATGCGCGCCATTCAGTCGGTTGACGTAGCGGAGCGCTAGGTCTCGTTCGAGAGGCGGGAGTATAAAGTTTTGACCTGACACAGTTCAGTTGCCATCCTGCGTTGGAACAGTGAGGAGCGTGCTTTTGCTGTTGAGGCCTACTTTTCGAGCAGATGTTCTGTGATCGTGTCTCGTTGCCAGGGCTCTACCTTGTTTAGGTAGATATGAACCAAACTCTCAGTTTTATCAAATAGTTTAATTAAAACAGTACTTACTTGCTGGCTGTTTTTATAGTCCAAAATATAAAACACAAAGATAGCACTCAGCTACATAATAAATGAAAACTGATAGCAAAATTAACTTTGTAGTCAAAAGAGTCCAGTCCAGTGACAGAGTCAATAGTCCAGTCCAGTCAATAACAGAGTCCAGGGATCAAGATTCTATACTGTAGTCAAAAGCCAATCCAAAGATTCAAGGTTCCAGGGTTCCAATATTACAGGAGACAAGTCAGGATCCCGAAAATCCAACAGACCTGGGGGGAAAACCAGCAGCATCCACCACCAAAATGCAACAAATACTTTTCTCCCAAAGATCAGTCCCAAGGTTAGCTCCTTAAATCCAGTAACCAGCTGCAACCCATCTCCTGCACACCTCCACCCCTAATTGCTTTCACCCATGAACTCCCACTTACAGATCACCAAACCCTCTAGAACTAATACATTAACCTTTCCATCACCAACCACCATCAACTGCAGAACATATGACAGATTGCAATCCAGCACACCTTTCGGAATTGCTTTAATTTAGCCCCATTGGCCCTTGTCCCGGACCGGAAATCAATTGTGACATGGGTCACTACATTCAGACAAACTGCAAGTGCGACAAGACGAAGAACTGGAGTCTCTCGGCCCATTAGATCACCTGAGAACATTGAGGCAGTGAGAGCTTCAATGTTGCGATCACCACGGCTTTCTGCGCGCAAACATGCGTCTGCCCTCGGACTTTCCGATCGTTCTGTGAGGAGAATTCTTCATGATGATCTTCATTTCCATCCTTACAAGATGGCGATTGTGCAAGAACTTTCTGAACGTGACTTGAATTCTCGGAGGAACGCGTGTGAGGTTCTTCTTGAACTCGTTCCTGAGGACGCTCTTGTTTTTTTAGTGACGAAGCCCATTTTCATTTGTGTGGATCCGTCAACAAACAAAACATGCGCTAATGTGCTGACAACAATCCTCGAGAATGGCATCCAAGGGTTTTGCATTCACGTAAAATCACTGTGGGTGTGCCATTTCCTCAGCTGGAATTACTGGTCCCTGGTTCTTTGAGGAAAATGAAGTCGCAGTGACAGTGAATTCAGACTGGTATGTAAACATGTTACATGTTACATGGTTAGATAGGTTGGATTTAGGGCACATTTGGTTCCAACAAGACGGTGCAACTGCACACACTTCAAGAGCATCGATGGCTGTTTTGAGGGAACATTTCCCAGAGCGCCTCATCTCAATTTGGGGGGATTTGGAGTGGCCGGCCTGCTCTCCAGATTTGGCCCCTTGTGATTTTTTTCTGTGTTTTTTTTTTAATCCCATGTTTATGTGAACTGTCCAAGGACCCGACAAGATTTGAAGACCAACATCCAGGAAGAAATTGCCAACAGAATGTCTGCTATGCTGGCAAGAGTCATGAAACTCTAAAATTACAACAACACAACAACAGAGAGGAAACAAACAAGGACATCTAATCACCTCTCAACAAAAGTTTGCTCCAGGCACAGTCAGCCCATTGTATGCTAATCTAGGTGGTCAGTTGAAAGATTCACACCTAGCCCAACTTACAAAAGCCCATTGTCCCACCCTGGTCATTCCACAGATATATAAACCCTTTTCCCCAGTTCCAACAGACCTCACTACCTCTGAGGATGCTTGCCATAGATGCAGGCGAAACGTCAGGAGAAATGCCTCTAGAACATGGCCATATACCCCGAAAAAACCCACAAGAACTTAGAGATTCCAGCCATGAAAGCCTTCGACAATACAATCTAAGTCTGGTTTCTTCAGCAGGGGAGAGACCACAGCCTCTTTTAAACCCTCTGGATTGGAATATATTTTGAAATAAGATCCAAGCCTGTGGAGCCATTTTTAA